GATCTTGTCCGATCGCCGCGAAGGAAGGAGTGACACGTGTCGTCATCGTCTGTCGAGCTCTGATCAGAGCAGAAAGTGTTGGAGTGTAAGAGCAAATGTAGAGGTCCTCCAGGCTCGGTTCCCGCCCAGAGCGATCTGCATTCATTCGAAATGGGTGGGCCGCGTGAAGAGGAATGGATGTAAAGGCTGCTGTTGGACATAACCAAATTCGAGAGCCACTCGGTAATTTCAGATCCTGCTGTAGTACATTGACAATAGGTAGCATGATCTCGTCCCATATCGTCCGCAGCAGTGCTATTAGTGCTGTCCTTGGCTCCTTTGAGTCCATGCGAGCCGTGTCCCGTATCACGTTCGTGAAGTGCTTCTTGAGCATCTTCAGATCTGTGAGAGTGAGAGACGGGAAGGGAACGTGGTGGGGCTTCCCTGACGCTGAAACAATGATGGCATTGCAGGAGTATTCGCTAGCATTGAGAATAATGACTGGGCCGTGGCGGGCTGCCACTTGCAAATCTTCATATGATGGCGGGAGCAGGAACCGCGAGAAACCTTGCAGATTGCGGATTTCACCCACTACAGCTTCCCATTGTGTCGTAAGTCTCTTGTACTCCGTTTCTGCCCGATCAGCATCATCCCGGTCTGCATTACCTGCAGAATTCCGAGCATCAGACAGGCTCTTGCTGAGCTCCGAGAGTCTATGAGCTAGCGGGATATTGATGGACTTGAGATCGTCCAGTGGTGCCCTAAGTCGACAGGCCAGCGACCATTGCTGGTCGCGACCCTGCTCCTCAAGTTCAACCCCTCGTTGCAGATCATTACGACGAATAGCGCATGATGTTGCATTCATGGGTAGAGATTGAGCACTATCAATGGCGATTGCAGTATTGCGACCGAGAATAATTGAGGATTGCGTCGCGTGGTTGTTGAAAAGGTCTAAGCATGTTTGATACGCTTCAAGGGCAGATTCGTGTTCATAGAATTCCGATTGGCGAGCCCATTGGATAGCCTCCTTGATGCGTTCTGGAAATCCCTGAGTAGGGTGATTCGAAGCCAATCTGAAGTTCTCTACTGCAAGTGACAGATCAACAGCGTTAGGTAGGATCCGATAACGAGACAGATAGGCCTCCTTGAGCCATTTGTAGCTGAAATAACGGTCCGCGTGCAGTGGTGGTAAAGCCACCAATGAATCTTGGCAAAGACCAATGGCCTCCTCAACATCTTTTTTCTTCCGTGTTTGCGCGAAACGAGAGCACAGTGCCATGCTCAAATTGAATAAATTTCTGTGGCGCTCCGGATGATCGTCCTGCTGTAGCAACAGAAGCGATTTGCGGCACAGATCAATGGCCTCATCTAAATCCTCGCTGGCATGTAATTTATCATGTCTAGTTATGAGCGCGGCAGCAAGGTTGTTGAGCTTGGTGTCACGATTTGGGCGCCCAGGTGAGCATGACGCTAGTGCTTTGCGAAAGAGGCCGGCAGCTCTATTTATGTCATCAATGTCATTGCATGCATTGAAACGGGTGAGGAGGGCGCGCCCCAGGCCATCCAATGACGCATCATGATATTCGTGCCCAACAGGGCGTAGTGGCAGCGCTTCTTCATAGAGAGAGATGACCTCGTCAAGGTCATGAGATCCCCCTTGGTGATCGAAGCGGTTACGGAGGAATACGGCGAAGTTAATCAAGTAGGTAACACGGTTGGGATTTCCCTCGGGGCACATAGAAACAACTTCACGACCAAGTTGTACGTTCCGATCTAGATCATCGAAGCCGCATTGTCGAAAGCGTGCTTTTACTGCCTTTGCAAGCTTGTCAATGGCGCTGGGATTGTGTTGATTTCCCGGAGGACATAGCTTGAGTACGATTCGTCGAAGGTAGATATCTTCATCGGATGCATCTATGGGAAGATTGTTGCATGCCCGTATCACATAATCGACACCATTTTTGCCGATCGCAATGCTACGAAGATAGGTGTCTTCAGAACAGAGAGACAGTAGCTCATGACAGAGCTGGGCTGCCTTGAAGATATCAACGGTGATAGAATGATAGCTGTAGCGCCAAATCAATGCTTCGGCGAGATAATAAAGGGAAACTGGACGGTCGGGGTGGCCTCGCGGACGCAGTGCAAGGGCATCGCATAACAAAGTGGTAGTAATGTAAATGCCTTGAAGATCTTTGCGGATATACCCTTGAAGGCGGGCCCACGCAAGGTTAGTGAGAGCTGCCGCATGGTCTGGATGATCGACCGGACACTGGTCCAGAACTAACTCAAAATAGTTCATAGCATCGTCCAGGATTTGGACCCCACCCCTGCCTCTCATGTAGTCGCATAATCGTATGTGGCCCATATCTGTGTCTCGAGCAATTCTGCAGTCATCGATAGACTAAAATTTGCATTCTGTCAGCAGAATGCCAACAGCACGAAGGTCGGTGTCGCTCACATCAAACGGCACACTGCCATCATTTGCGCGAGCAATCCCAGAAGCGACTTTCAGTGTGAGAGAAGGACAGACACCCCGAATGGGCGGAAACGATAGATCTGCGATCACGAGGGACTCTGAGGAGACGCGGATGAGTGTGAAGCAGATCACTCACCGAAAGGCTCGTCACCACGATCGAGCAGCCCTTCCCACGACACTTCAAGCTTTCCTACGAGTTCCCCACGACCTAGCATTCGGCCGAGCTCGAAAGATGCCCGAATCTCCACCGATAACTTAGGTGATACATCTGGGGATCTACAAGCCGATGAGTACGATAATCACATCTACAAGTGCATGTAAAAGGCTTTACAAGGTCACAGTATCACCCCATACTACAAAACTGTCGGATGATAGCACCCGCACAGCTGATTTCCAGCATCTCTTCGAGTCGACATTGACAGACACGTAAATGCCTGCTGGTATCCGCCCGGAGGGGACACTGATTTTCTTCCCACCAACGACTGTAGCAGAACGTGAGGATCACGAAACAAATACCGAGGCGATATGGAGACCGACCTTCAAATATGATAGATTGCCCTTCCCAGCTACTGGTCATGATGTCAAGAAATGACAAAGAGACTGGGGATGGGCTGAGTGCTTGGTGGGTGGAACGAGTAGGACAAGATGATATGAGGTTTATGTATGAAGTTCAGGTGAAAGGGAGAGCTTAGGGAATTCGAGTAGTGTTACACGTGTACACCGATTGCTGTTCGGCACCGTAGACGCTGGCCTTCATTCTAGTGTCAGACCAAAATATACAGGCTAACGGCAACGACGTGTGCTAATGAAATGGACGTAAGTTAATGTCAAGGTCAGTCACGTCAGCGAAAGATAGCACACCAGGGCCGGAGGCTGCTGATCAGCACTAGCAATGAGCTGGAGTGGACATGCAAGTGTTAATATGTCATGTGATGCTCCTTGCCACTAAGCTATTTCATAACTGGTATCGTCCCGAGTCAGAGAACTCATTTACCACGCTATGAGGCAAAATGAAGATTCCATTATATTTCGTAGTGTAAACATTACAAACCATTGGAGACAACATCAAACGCACGCAAGGGCTGATCCAGTTTATATGAGTTCGACTGAACTGATACAATGGGAGTGGATGATCGCGAGTGAGATGAAAACAGAGACGGCGGTCTGTGCGAGTACAGCTCGAATGCCATATGGAAGAGCCTAATGCACTGCCAGTGTGCCGCAACAGGAGATTATATAAACACCGAATGTGACTGAGAGAAGTCGGGATGCCTGCAAGAACGAAAGTAGGACCAAGAGGGAACCAATTGCGGGGTTGTGCGAGACTAGAGTTCAGCACAAGTACAGTCAGTTGATCATGCTTGTTACGGAAGAGAGCAGGAAGGGAGCGTAATAAATTCCCACACGCTAGTTCCCTAGAGTTCACACTGCGGAAACGAGTCTGTAATTATAACTCAAGGTACAGACGTCAGACTTGAACTCTGCCATTCACACATATGAAACAAGCTTCTCTCAGTTGATAGCAGGGTCGGCTAAACGCTTTCAGATGAAGGCGGACTTGATTGAAACAACCATTACAGTTGCACCGTATCATGATGCGATATCTGGTGCAACGGTTGTTGCAGCCTCGCTGATTTATTCGTATTCAGCGATACCGGAAGATTGAGCTGTATGAAATGCTATGTGATCAAGCAATTGGTGGGTTTTTATGTTATAGTGACGTCCTCTCGGTTCCATAATCATTCACCGTACTATTGGCGGTGTAATACCTTCGTGATTGTTATCAATCTCGGCAGGCTCTCACCACAGCTGCCAAGGCATGTGAACCCTGCGTTCAATTAGCGATCGACTGTCTTCGAATGTTTCCGGATGCCATCGACAAGAAGTGGATGCATACGGCAATGTTGACCCTGGTGAGTGCGTGTCCTTTGCTCCATGAGTGAAACGAGGTAGTTCGTTGTCGTGAAGGGCTTGGTTTGTAATTCCTGGGACGAGTTGATTGCAAGCGTGAATGACAGAGGTCGATAGTACTAGGGACAGCTGCAGTGTTCCCAGGTTTGACTAAACAGGAACTCTGATCTGTATTGGTCGCAGGTGAGTCTCACCTTCTGGTATGACTTTCTGGCGGCGATTTGAATAGCGACCAACTGATCCCATCGATGACAAGGTTGAGGTTGCGGTTGCGGACTCGATCATCTGACCAGTGGGTACGAGGCTCCTGCTTCCTGTGTCGGATACACTGTCAAGCGTGTTGAGCTGAATGGTGAAAGATGAGAGTCGAATTTTTGTCATGGCCCGCAAATACAAAACATCATGTGTCTCTAGAAAGCTGTGAGTGCTGTCGTGAAATGTAATACTTCTGTTGGATATTTCGATGTAGCATGCAACGGTCTCGTATTTTACATCGTCACTAACGCAGACAGGTATATAGTCTTCCATCCCTGGTCGTTCCACCTCAGTCTATTATACTCAGACTAAGGTGAGATACTCGCACTCATTATCATTATCATACTCAACCGTCCCTAACGTTTACCGTAGTCCTTCATTTGTCTCTCGCAGGTACATCTATACATCTATAATGGAGTCTATTATACTGAGTCCTTACGTTTGTCTCTTGCAGCCTCTCGCAGCCTCCGTCCGTCTCTACTCGCATCAACTTCATACTCTGTCGTTGTACAAGCAAACGTCGTGACAACGTGGTCGTCAATGTAGTATCTCACCGAAATTAAACGATATGCGCAATGATTTGTAAATTCTCCGAAGTGTCAGCTGGCGGGGAGCGACAAATAAATGAAGGCCGAGCCGACACCTGACGACACAGTCATGCAGGCGTTCACACAGAGTGCACAAGCTCCACTGCGCGCTCACAAACCTCATCAATTCCCCACCGCTCGCATGAACCATGTTTCATGTCCAGAATGCCGCCCACCTCGTCGCACGCCCTCAACACGATATCGATATCCTCCTTTGTGTGTGATGCGCTAGGACAGAGCCGCGCACGACCCGTAGTAAACGAAGTGGCGGGGTGCGCTACGACAACGACAGCAATTGGTATGGGGCGCGCACGCATCATACGCACGAACAAGCACAATTTTCCCGGGCTAAAGATAAGCAGTGGGACAATCGGACTGGAGACATGCCCGCACACAATGAAGCCGAGTTTTTTGAGGCCCATGTGGAGATAGCGGCAGTTGAAGGCAAGGCGGCGCATACGCATGCGAGCTTCAGATCCGTCCGCGAGAGACGGCCGAAGATTCATCCACATCGGCAGCATGCTTGCAGGCGCCATTCCTGGGAATTCCTCTGCGCTTTCCTTCGGCGCGACGATCGAGCTATCAAGGCTGGGGAAAAGCGTGGATTTGGTGGGTCGTGGTGCCGGAGTCACACCCATAATGCTGGCCATCGACACAACAACCTGTGCAATCACGGACGGCGTTATGGCTTCCGCATATGGACCCGAGTGACTGCGCAGGCGGAGAGCATCAATTAGGGATTTCGGCCCTGAGATATATCCTCCAGCTGCACCGAAACCCTTGCTGAACGTGCCCATCAGAACATCGATTGAACCAGGAGGGGTGTTGAAATAGTCCGTCACACCCCGTCCCCGAGAACCGAGCGAACCGATTGAGTGCGCCTCGTCAACGTAGAGGTAGAACTTGAATGGAAGCTCAACATTGTATTACAACGGCAATTGTATTACATACTTTGTACTTCTGCTTCAGCTCGACAATCCTAGGGAGGTTCACGAGTGTTCCCTCCATGGAGTACAAACCCTCGACAATGACCAAGATCTTCTTCCACGCACGATGCGTCTTGGGCTGACCCTGACTTATCACCTCACGCAGCAGGGACTCGAGACTTGCCATATTATTGTGCTTGAATATCCGGACCGCCGCACCACTCTGTTGTATTCCAACCCGCATACTAGTATGGTTCAGCTCGTCGGAAATGATCAAGGACCCCTTCCCCGCGAGTCCAGGGATAAACGTGGAGTTGGTGGCGAAACCCATAGAACAGACCAAGGCGTCTTCCGTGCCCAAAAAATATGCAATGAGGGCTTCTGCGCACACATGAAGATCGTTGCTCCCACTGTCAAGACGTGTACCGCAGCTGGAGACGCCGTATCGGCGGATGCTCTCCGCGACTGCATCTGCCCAGCTGCCGCGGCCCTGGGAGAAGGCAAGGTAGTTGTACGATGAGATGTTCAGGGCGCGTGTCATGCCACCGGTGTAGATCTGGGTATGATTGTAATCGGGGGAATAGCGGTCGAGGATAAGAACAGTGCGGCCAGGGACACCTGTGATAGGCTGGCCATAGCAGTCATCCATGCGACGCTTTACCCGTCGAAGGTAGAAAGATTCAAGGTCCGAGTTCAACTGTGCGTAACCCTGTATATGGAACAAAATGAAGGTAGCAAACAAGGTTGAGTAGGACAGGAGATGCCACATACATTATGGGGCATAAGGTGAGTGAAACGAGACTTTGCAAAACGCTTTCCAAAGAAATCGCGCAAACGACCCAACAAGTAGAGAGTGAGGATGCTTACGCAGGTAGCGAAGCAAACATAGAGTGGGGGTTTCTCGATGGCGCACTCCTGGAACGGCTTCGTGTAGTCATGCTTAGAGACGCAACGATAAGCCTCATTCGCACAGTGACCAAACTCTGTGTGAGGGGTAGTAAAGACCTGCTCGGATGTCGGCGGCGTATGAGGGTTCATGAGACAGTTGTCATCATCGTCCTCATTGACGACAGTGTCTTCTGATGAAGTCGTGACAGAGGAGGAAAAGGAACACACACGGGTTGGTGCCGGGTGGGGGTTATCATGAGCGGGAGCACGAGAATCTGCTTGTTGAACAGCAGAAGAGTATGGCACTGCCTTCATCATCGATGGTAACTGACTGGCCGATTCTTTCTCCTTGAAGACGGACGGAGAAGGGGATGGCGGATTCAATGCCATGAGAGACGGCGTTTCCTTGTCCTGTTCAAGGAAAAATAACATCTGTCGAGCTTCAGAGATGGAGTAACAGGGGGACAGGGCTGCGATGTCACCTTGCTCGTTTTATATTATATGCGGACAAGCTTTCATCGGACATATGATGAGTTGGTGTAATCGCGATGCTGGACGGATCTGACGGACGCTGGCAGAACAGTGACAATATGGAGCAACCGTAAACCGCATGACAGGTTAAAGGATTTCCCCTTTGAATTTAGCTGCCACGTAGTCATGGTATGATTACCATGAAGTCTGCCGATGATCATAGTATGTGTAACCGTTGAAGGAAACGATATGGCGACAGCGATTGTTATATTTCCAAGCTCTCAGGCTGACGCGTAGAGATCTGCTGTCGACAACTAGACCGGAGCTGCCAGGAAGTTTCGGGTGGTAGTCATGTGCGAAAGAGTTACCACAATATGGCGATCCAATAGCAAAAAAACGGTTCGATGAGTGTCAGAATAATTTACGATATTATCGCCATCTGGCCATGGGATGTGTGCCACCAGGAGTCACTGAAAACCGGCGGACCACGTTATGTTATCATATATTTGCTGCCAGGGCGTATTTTGATTTTTTTGCTTTGTCGGCTAAAATATGGTAGCGCAGCGCAGCGTACAAAATCATTACCTCCTATAAGTAGTCTGTAATTCAGCGACGGGGCTTGCAAGCTTGAAGCTTGAGGCCTTGAGGCCTGAGGCCTGAGATCTGAGAATTGAGTTCGGCCATGTATGGTCAGACCGTCAAACGTTGAAATTGTAAATCGTATGGAACCGTGCTCAGATTTTCGTCACGTGCATCAAACAGTTCCGATGTCGGACATTGAATTTAACTGGGTGCAGTATATGCATGGGGCGAGGCAAGCTGGTAGCGCCTACCAACCCTTGGCAACTTGAGTCCGGGATCTAGGCTGCACTTATGGATTTCGTAAATGGCGCCTGCAAGAATATTACCGTAGCTGCAAGGGTACACAAGGTATGACCATGTATTTTTCGAGTTCCTGCAATGCTAATTACATTGTACAGGTCGTGCGGCAGACTTTCACATAAAAATCAGAGCAATGCTTTATTATGCTCAGGGTCAGCCCCAAACCCAGACAGCGAGAGACACATCACAGAATGGGAACCTGCAGTTGCTAACACCGTGTAGGACCTGCAAGCGGCAGCGCTCTAGGACCAAGTCTTATCTTCATTGCGAATTAATTACTCCTGCGACTTCATCAAATATTGTCTGAGTGTCAGCGAACCCCGCCAAGCCACTGCTTCTCAGATCCCTCGAAATGCTCAAGAATGACTTTGCCAAGGTAATACAGAACGCTGCTTATACAGGCACAACAGAGGATTTGTAAACTCTACGAATGGTGTTTGAATTTAAACCTCCACTTCTATGATGGCCCTGAGCCGTGACTAAGCCCAGTCAGAGAATACCTACTACTAGCAAGACTGGAGGGCTCCGCCAAGAGGAACAGTGCTGGCACTTGATTCCCTCCTCTGAGTTAGATTGTTCATATGCAATATAGATGGATGGGCATAGGTAGATGGATCAGGGAAACACTAGGGGAGACAGTCACACAGGCGTTCAAACGTTCACAGAGTGCACAAGCTCCACGGCACGCTCGCAGACCGTGTTGATTCCCATCGTTCGCCCGAACCATGTTTTAAGTCCAAAATTTCACCCACCTCATCGCATGCACGCAGCACTATATCAATATCCTCCTTTGTGTGCGACGCGCTGGGACAGAACCGCGCACGGGCCGTCTCGAACGGAGTGGCGGGGTATGCTACGACAACGACGACGATCGGCGGACTGTATGAACGCATCATACGCACGAACGTAGGCAATTTTCCAGGGTTAAAGATGAGCAGGGGAACGATCGGACTGAAGGAATGTCCATAGATGATGAAGCCGAGTTTCTTAAGGCCCGCGTGCAGATAACGAGAGTTAAAGGCAAGACGGCGGATACGCGCACGAGCTTCAGATCCGTCTGCAAGAGCCGGAGGAAGGTTCATCCACGTCGGCAGGCTGCTTGCAGGTACCATACCTAAAAGCTCTTTTGTTTTGTCCCTCGGCGTAACAATCGAGCCCACAGGGCTAAGAGAAAAGGTGGAATTGGTTGGTCGTGGTGCTGAAACAACACCCATGATGCTAGCCATCGAGGCAACAATCTGGACGAGTACCGGGGGCGCTATTGCTTCTGCATATGGACAGGAGTGACCGCGCAGTCGGAGGCAGTCAATAAGAGATTTCGGCCCCGCGATGTATCCGCCAGCAGCACCAAATGACTTAGTGAAAGTGCCCATCAAGACATCGATAGAACTAGGAGGGATGTTGAAGTAGTCCGTCACACCCCGGCCACGAGGACCAAGCGCACCGATCGAGTGCGCTTCATCGATGTAGAGGTGGAACTTGAACAGAAGATCAAACATCGCGACAAATAACTGTCATTGCAGGACGGACCTTGTAGATCTGCTTCAGTTCGACAATCTTAGGTAGGTTCAAAACCGTGCCTTCCATGGAGTACAAGCCCTCGACGATAACCAAGACCTTCTTCCACGCACGATGCGTCTTGGGCTGACCCTGACTTATTACCTCACGCAGCAGGGACTCGAGGCTTGACATATCATTGTGCTTGAATATCCGGATATATGCGCCACTCTGTCGTGCACCAATGCGGATACTAGCGTGGTTCAGTTCGTCCGAAATGATCAAGGACCCTTTTCCCACCAGCGCAGGGATGAAGGTAGAGTTGGTGGCGAATCCCATAGAGCTGATCAATGCATCTTCCGTGCCGACAAAACGCGCAACAAGGGCTTCAGCAGATACATGGAGCTCAGAGCTCCCGCCCTCAAGACGTGTGCCACAATTGGAGACGCCATATCGGCGTATGCTTTCCTTGACTGCATCTGAGCAGCAGCCGCCACCCTGGGAGAAGCCAAGGTAATTGTACGACGAAATGTTCAGCGCACGTGTCTTGCCACCAGTGTAGGTCTGAGTATAGTTGTTATCTATGGAGTGACGGTCGAGGATAACAATAGTGCGGCCGGGAACACCCGTAACGGGCTGGCACAGGCAGTCAGTCATACGACCCCTGAGCCGCCGAGTGAAGAACGAATCAAAATTTGTATTCAACGGCGCATAGCCCTGCGCATGGAGCAAAATAAATTGTATACAATGAGCAAGTTTGAGGAGGACAAAAGATGGCACATACATTCTGGGGCACCAGGTGGGCGAAATAAGACTTCGCAAACCGCTTTCCGAAGAAGTCGCGCATATGGCCTAACAAGTGGAGAATGAACAGGCTTATGTGTGTAGCGAAGACGATATAGTATGGTGGCTCCTCCATGGTTTGCTCCTCGAAAGGTTTCGTATAGTCATGCTTAGAGACGCATCGATATACCTCATTCGTACAATGACCAAACTCTGTGTGGACGGTAGTGAAGATCTGTTCGGAGGTAGGCGGTGTAATGGGGTATACAAGGCAGTTGTTCTCATCGTCCTCGCTGAGGGCGTTGTCCTCGTAGGAAGCTGTGATGGAAGGCGAGAGGGAAAGTGCAGGGGTTGATGGTATAGAAGAGTTGTCGCGACTGCGTCCGCGAACGTTTGTCTGTTGAACAGCAGGAAGATACGACGCTGCCATCGGCATTGATGGTGACTTGCTGAGCAATTTTTTCTCCTCGAAAATATATAGAGAAGGGGATGGTAGATTTAGTTTGATGGGATATGGCATCTTCGTATCCTGTTGAACGAATAACCGCCATTTGAGGATGATGAAAGAACAGAAAGAACAGCAATGTTATGAGGTCGAACCTATAGCATAATATTATGCGGGGAAAAACTCGCCAGCGATCACAATCCGATCCCTAGATGGCCGAACTGGTTTACCATAACAACCCCATATAGATACAGGTCGAAGCAACTCAATCATACGACTGACCGAGCGATCGATGATGTGGAGCACCGCGCATCGACAGAATCTCGGGAGCAAATTTCTCCTGCCGACAAGAATACAGTTCTATTATGAAAGACAGTGTCGTCAGTACGGATGAAGGTACATACATTCATACCCACGTGATACAAAAATCGCTGATCATCTGAAAAATCAGGCCAAGCGGTCATCCGTAGCCAGAGGGCCTTGCGTGATTCGCGAGACTCCGAATACTAGTATTGTTAGTGGAGAACGGTAGTAATTGAAGGTCTAGGGCCATTTGGCGGAAGTATAGTTGATCACAGTCAATACGAAAGTGGCATCACCACTTGCACGCTAAGCATGCTACACACGACGCCCAGCCTGTCCGTGCACCTGACGGGCCGCGCTTCTAACGCGACGCTATCATACATGATGCATCATGGCTTATCATAGCTCACCCGTGCTCATTTCTACCCCTTTCTAACGCTGCTTCGAGTGTGACGTGTGACTCAGGGCGGACTGCGAGAGAAGACGAAATAAGTTTGAGCAGTCACTGGCACATAGTATAGTAGTGGGATGATGACATGTATTTGGCCATCTACGTTGACCTCTTGTGGCACGTGACAATTTATATGTAGAAGACCAAATCATGATGGTATTATTCATTCACATCAGTTCACACCTCCGCGTCTCCCTGGCTCGCAAAGTGGTCGCGGGAAGGAGCCTGGTATACTTCTCTTTCCAGATGAGTCGCGTTGTGTAACATTCTCAAGTTTTCAAGTTAGTATCGTGTCAAGCCTCGATGTTCCGTCACCTCCAAATCGAAGCCTTTCCCGCCGCGCCACGCCCGACAAGCTCCTTACCTTGTGAAACCAAATGCACCTGCAGCACCCTGACAAGCCACACTTATGCCGCGTTAGCAGTACCAGAACAGTCTGCCGTGTTTATCCTGCTAGTCCAGTTGCTAACGATGTCTCCCTTCCATGATAACAGACCTTAAACGTCGAATCCTTACGCTGTTCGTCCGTAGGAAACAACTTGAAATGATTTACTAAGAAACTTATCCTGTGATAGTCAGACACATCACCCGTACGAAAACGAGATGGTGTTCAGCATGCCTTCAAAAACATCTCATCTCACGATTAGTAGCCAAAACTACACGTTCGTGACAGTTTCCGCGAACTAGCAATCATGCCAAGAAATGGTTTGGTGGCATGGCTTGGTGTGTGTTTTAATCAAAACTGTTGCCCATTGAATAGCTAGTGATTTCAACTTGAACAGTGCGCAAATTCAGAACGAAGAATGACCACATTGGAAGTAAAGTATAGGCAAGCGACAATGGGCTTGTTCTGAATCTTGGACTCCTCCTTTTCAGGCCGACTTTCCGGAGACAATTTAAGTATGTGTTCTCACTGAGCCCGATGGACATAATGGAAAGGACCACGAGCAGCCTTACAATCAGCACCACGTGGGTAGTAAGGTGACGCATAACAAAATAACAACATTATGTCGTCGGACTCGTTGTTAAATTTCTTCCTGATATTACCCCCAGGCATTCCACCTAAGAGTCATCCGACTAAGTGTTACAAGAACCAGCTCCTGTTGGGCAATATGAATATGACTACACTGGCAGGCATGTCAGTGTTTTTGGGGGCTTCGTGTTCTCCTTACCGGCGAATCGGACTGGATGAATGCAAAGTTACACTGTGACACGAAGTACCCCCGCAACTGTACATGCAGATTCGGATGTCCGAGACCTTAACCATGTAGTAACATATACTATTTATATCGTACAGGTGAGGATCATTGACTACAATGTCTTCCGGGCCATACTAGTACCCGTCAATATCATTTACTACCTCACATGAGACGATAGGCATTTAGCCTATCTGGTACGACCCGGCACATAGAATAGGCACATCATGTTGATCATATTTTGCATGGTGGAAGCGTTAGGCTAACTTGAACATCCGACGGCAATCAATGCTCTCGTACTCGTCCCGGCGGCCCGTCGCTATTCGCTTTAACTTCCTTCACTTTGAATTAAGGATGTTCTATCTATCCGTCAACTCTTCATGCATTCGAGTTCTGCGCTCAACCCTCAAGACAACCCTCAAGTCCTTCTCCACATCACAGCCCACACTAAGCACCGCCAGCTCAACCAATCCCAACTTCGTAAAGATAGTCGAAGTGGGGCCTCGTGATGGTCTCCAGAATGAGCCTAAGCCAATTCCACCTCCCATCAAAGCGGAACTCATCAATCGACTCGCTATCGCAGGGATGCGCAATATCGAAGCCGGCAGCTTCGTGAGCCCAAAATGGGTACCTCAGGCACGTCTATACTCTCCAACAACGCTTCAACACTCGTGCTAATATGCGAACATGGCACACAGATGGCAGGTACGGCAGAAGTCCTGGCTCTCATAGACAGTTTCCCGAAAACAGGTTACTCGGTACTCGTCCCAAATCAGAAGGGGTTACACGACCTCCTAGAGATACTCTCTACTAGCACTTCTCCAAACTCGCACGCAAAGCCCCCACCTCCAGTCACCGAAGTCGCGATCTTTACCTCTGCGACAGATGGGTTCTCTCTTGCGAATACCAACGTCTCTGTTTCAGGTTCTCTTGAACGTCTCGCGCCAGTTGCACGCAGAGCTCTTGATGCTGGGTTGAAGGTGCGAGGGTATGTTTCAGTAGTCGTCACATGTCCCTTTTCTGGACGCGTGGATCCGAGGAGGGTTAGGGATGTTTCGAGGGAGCTCGTACAGATGGGGTGCTACGAGGTGAGCTTAGGAGATACGACAGGTGCAGGGACGCCTGCCAGCATCCTCGGGATGCTTGAGGAAGTTGCAAAAGAAGTAGACATAGGGATCCTTGCTGGACATGTAAGATTCACTCAATCGTATCTTATCTTATGGTTGAGCCAGTGTTCTTTTGGACTGTGTAGTTTCACGATACAAATGGCACAGCGACTGCCAATATTATGACTGCTCTTGACTTTGGGTTGCGGACATTTGATGCGTCCGTTGGTGGCCTTGGAGGGTGTCCGTATAGTCCTGGCGCCACGGGTAATGTTGCAACGGAGGATGTTGTCTATGCTCTTACTGGAGATAGGTTGTTCGGCGATATTGGTGAACCATACGGTGAAGCCCATATTCTGTATGTTCTTCCTTGTAAGCTAATTATCTAATATCTACGGTAGGCAAGCCCGCCAAGGCGGTGCAAAGTCGATGGGATGTAGGTCCCGTTGACCTAGTTCGATTGGCAGAAATCGGGGCGTGGATTTCTGGGGTACTTGGGCGAGAGACTACGAGTCGTGCTGGCAAAGCCCTATTGGCGAGACGGAAGAGAGAAGAGGATCGCAAACGAAAGGAAGGAGCAAAGTTGTGACATTACGACACTTCCCCCTTCGCGAGGTAAGCTGACGTCTGCTCGACTCGGACGCGAATTTATCATGTTTAAAGACCATGATCGTTCTGCATACTTTCCAGTGATAATAGTTTTTTGCATCATGCTCTATGACACTATCTTCTTCGAATCAAATAACTACTCGGGGTATCAAGACTCATCAAATGTCCCTGTCCTGAAGAAATATAATTTTAGAAGCATCCATGCGCGTGTGCTTCGCGTGCCGGCAATCTACACTCTCGCACTCTCACTCAGGTTTCGAGTTGAACTCCTTTCCAGTCTCAACATCTTCCAGAGGAAGACGATCGTACCTGCCTGCATCCTTGGAAGTTTGCTGAGATTCGACGTGTTTCACCCACGTGTAGTAAATGGACCCTAGAAGGATGATTGCAATAGAGGATGCACGGCCGCTGTAGTAAGAAATGTTAGTCACAAGAATTTTGACAGTCACATGACACCTTAAAAACGGAAGACACGCACCTTGAGATGATCTCTGCAAATAACCACATTCCTAACATGGATGCTGCTACGCCTCTTACTGCGGAGGACACCATGTGTGTGATGGGCGAAGTAACTTTGATGGACAGCAGACTAGCGAGGCTCATCATAAAGCCAAGCGCACCCTAATGATGCATCAGTCAGCAATAGCGTGAATTGCCAAAGCGGGTGTGAATACCCACCGTAATAAAGGAGCCCCAAACGAACGTCTGCAAGTCGCTCAACTCTCCTTCCTTGGGGATAACACCTGCTCCGAAAAATAAATCCGCAATGGCCGGGACCTCACCGGCAAATACAATGATGGGCATCATCACAACCGCACTAATCAAATTCGTATACCACGACAGATTCATGGCGCTACCCTTGACTATATCCAGACTCTTTTTGATGACCACGCTGTGCACTGCTGTGATTGCGGAACTTGCGACGCCGAAGCCAATACCAACGAGAGCCATGGGGACAGAATCGAGAAAGACACCAACAAAGAAGCCGAGGGTAACGATGGAACAACTAAATAGAATGCGGAGGGACGGCCGTGCGGAGAGGAAGAAGTAAGAGGTAAGGACTGTGAAGGGGAGGACGAGACCACGCGCGACTTGGTAGACAGATGCGTCGACATACTTGAGGGTATAGTTGCTGAAGCTGATAGTAAGACGAATGAATCAATGTCAAAACCTGGTGTTGCTGATTCATGGGAAAGTCATACCTCAATCCAATAACATTCAACGCAATGTTGGGGGCAAGCTGGATCAAAAGCTGGGTGTCTACATATAAAGGCACAACTAAGAGGCGGGATGCATGTGCGGCAATGAAAAGAATGACGGCAATGACAAGCTGGGTAAAGAGGAAGAAGAGCGGGGCAGCAGTCGTTTTGAGAACCCATTTATTCCTGTATTTTGAAAAGAATGAGTGAGGTTGGTAAACATTGGAACAGAAAAATACTTGCGCCATGACCATCTGCATGCAAAGGGATATATTAATGAACAGGAGAGTAGTAAGTAGGAGACGGACGTACACATAGTGCTGCTACAAGGTAGAAGAGCACTGTGCCAGTCTGTAATTAGAGCCTCTGGTCACTATAGAGCGATGAAATGTGATGGTTTGAACGTACGACAAGAAGTCTGCTGCTCTGCGACTGCGGACGAGTATCGTGCTTGTGCGACATCACGGTAATCGAAACGTCAATTGGTTTGAGAGAATTATAACACTTTTTGGTACTATGAATACGTGCTGTAGTAGCCTATGGATGTTGAGTATGAAGAGTTATATCATGAACTGAAGTGGGCGTGAGGAAGAGCGAAAAAACGGTGGCTCGTGAGTAGGAAAATTCATGCAAAGCAGGCGCCGTACGGAGTTGGAGCGGGAGCAATCAATGTCGTGGCATTGTGTCACGTGGCACCGCTCCATATGGCTCAACAAGTGTACGGTAATTAGGACCTGACGGAACTGTGACGGAATTTGAAAACTTAACGGCTCCTGTGTCCTACCCAACCCACTCACTCAATATTTTCACTTGTACCTAGTCCCTGATACTGCTAATAACTGCTCAGTAGCTAAGCGCACAATTTCTAGCATTGTTTTAGCAGGCCTTTGTTGGACGATACGAGCTGGATGAGTTGAGTATTGGATGGTACGAGTTGGGCGTTGGACGATACAAGTTGGACATACACGCATGGTACCAGTCCCTGGAGGATTAGCCTCTGGGACTGTTTTCCTTTTCTGATCCTTATCATATCTTGTCAGCTTTGGCACCATATGTTTACTGGCAGCTTCTCTCTGCCTTGAACCTTCTATTGCTTTACATTTAAATGTCTTTCACGTCCGCTGAGGTACGTATACCACTACTTCCTATATCTAGCTTTACTAACTGTACGGCCTAGACTTTGGTCTAGGTAAATCCAATTTTAGTGTTGTCTTTCACGTCCACTGAGACTTTGGTCTAGTTTCTACAGCCTTCATTTCCTATAAACTGACAGATCCTGCAGAATAGCACAATCAAAACCATTTGTGCCTTTTCACTGGCAGCCTTACAAGTTTTGTTGTTTTGTTGTTCAGTGACGTGCATTAGCCCGCAGGAAAATATTTTAGTGAGCAAATAGATCAGTATAATTATGGCCCTTTCCTTGCAGGTTCAACCAACCTATAGTTATCAATACTCGCTAACTGACATTGTGTTGTGTGAGTATCGTGTCTTGACTCCCATTGCATTCTGGATTCATCAGTGCGTTGGAAATAGGCCTTGAAGTATTATCATGTCACTATCTCTAGCCTAGTTTTAGTGCTTACCCTACACGATTATTGTTCAGCCTCCAGATACCATGGTTTGATGTTACTGATGCCCTCATGTCTGAAGGTCACATCAATTTTGGTATGCAATAGTACTTCTTGTGGCGATCGAAATAACCAAGGTTTTCTCCCTAAATTAGAGTACTTCATTCACATGGATGGAACATGTTTATCTCAGTTACAATACTATTCATAAGTTCAAGTCGATTTTCGGAATCCTCTGCGCTGTTAGCGAGAGTTGCTGTAACATTGGCTCTTTCGCCTCACAAGTTTGTCATTTGATTCCCAGGTCCTGTGTGGGCCAGTGCCACAGGCTACAAAAATGCTGTGGTAATGTCCGTGCCCGTTGTCCAAAGTTTCCTCTTCCTCAATTCAAATAACATATTTACATAATTTTCAGGTGAACTGTACACCTTCAGCTATTTGCAAGAAGGAATTCATTCAGCCCAGGTCTCTCTCATAGCCAGACCATGCAGAAGGAGGACAGTTGCTCCTCTTGAGTTCTTGCAATGTGGGTTACCTCGGCCTTCTCTACCCGTACCATACAACACATATATACTCCACCATGCGGCCATCCCTGTCATACAATGCTCTCACCTGTATGGAGACAGTAGTGACAGTGCTGCCACCCCTCCTTCCAACCCTTGTGTCAGCGGCATTCAGCATCTGGCAAGAGCCCCCGCCCAGGCCAAAGGCCGATGGCTTGTTAATTTATTCCAATTGTGGTGGCACACAACATCCATGACTGCTCTTCTCTGCATCCATTAACCATGCTCAATGTTGTGACCAACTTCCTGCCTCCATCTTCACCAGCTCCAGCAGCTTACTCATATTGAATGGCAGTGACATATCTGCCTGTATGGCACCCACCATGTACGATCTGTTCAAGCTATAATTCAGCATCAAACACAATGGAACATAAACATAATACTACACACATCACTGTACTCTCTTTCAGAGGTTCCACTCACCCACCTGTCTTCAATATGTCGCACATCTTATCAAGAGGTGTATTACGGTGGTGCCATAGGTTATAAGCCCGCATGTACTGCAGGTGAGGGGGCGTTGGTGCTAATGATGGCACATTGAATTCCAGCGGCATAGGTGATGATATCACCTTGGTACTACCTGCCCTTTGACTAGGCGGATCGACTGAGCTAGTATACTGGGTCGGGTCAAGTTCCTTGTTGCCAGCTTTGGCCAAGTCTAGGAGCTTCAGGTGCACCATCAGTGCTGCATGCACATCATTTGCCGCATCTTGATGGGTGTCATTAGTCAAAGTTTTCCTGCATCACGTTGGGGAGCTCACAATGCACCATCTTATTATTCAGGTCTGCCTCCCAATTACTGGTGCACTCTTTGCTCTTCACTAAATTGCACTCAAGGTACATAGCAACCATCTTGGCGAGACTGACTACTCGTCGCTTGTACATGCTAGAGAAGGTATCATCTGTGACATGTGCAAGTGCACCAAGCTCGACAAGTCCTTGGGTTGTGATCCCAAAGTCACGATACAATTTCTTGCCATCATCTACCAGTTTGCATCAGGTGAATCACAGTTCATACTTTCAAGCTACGCGGGCCATTAATAGATAGCATCTATGATACCATTAACTGATTGGGCTTACCAAGACCCTTTCCGGAAACCCTGCCACACAACCAAGTATTCAGGTGGCAGCAGACCATAACTATGAGACAATGTACGTTTCATTTGGCTTACCTGGATCAGCAAGATAGTCGATTTGTCGCAAAGTTGCACCAGTGCTGTTCGTCGTTCCTGTGCACCAGAATTTCAGAGTACACACCACTCGAGGTCAAATCCAAGGGGACTATAGCAGCAGGCATAATCATAATGGATGCTTTGGTGCTGTGTTTGCAATAACAGTTACAGTTAAACATACCTTTCAAGTGTTTGAACCAATTTTTTGGCTTCATCCTCGCAGTGTGTGTAGACAACGGCAGGCGAGGGGGTGCAGTAATTCGTGTAGGCCTGAGTAGTTTGGCATTTGGGAGGCTGCTTCGGCAAAGGACTCAGATTTCAACAGTCACTCGTCTACCTTTTCCTTTGTAAGCATCAGCAAACTACCAATTTCGTCACAGGTGTCACAAGGTTTCACAAGCTGCCACAAGACACCACAGGTCCTACAAACTTCACAGACACATAATCAAATACCACACTACTTATAGTGTCTATTATCCTTAACCTACTATATGTTGTTGTAATTACTGAAAATATAGTTGAAATATATATTAATCTTTACTGTACAAGATCTATTGACTCTGAATGAAAATTAAATAGGATATATATTCAGTAAATTAGTGTATGATTCTATTGCAACTATCTGAAGCTACTGTAGTCTTATTCCCACTACCTTTAGGGAGTGGGTATTATAGCTCACTATTTTGAACTTTTGGCGGTAGATTTCATGATTGTGCCGCCCCTCTTTTTCTCGCTTTAGATGGCAATTGTTGCCTTGCATGGTAATGAGGCTGTGTTGATCGATTGATCTACACTGCTTTTGGTTTTTGTCTGCTCGATCATCACATCGCTTTCCTGCATGGCGCGCTGTTGGTTGTGAATACGAGCATCCTGTGCATAATCCTTATTCTCGTCGCGTTTCTGGACTTCAAGCCTAGTACTTCATAGTTGAATTCTGACTATTCTTCTGATGTTGTTCTGTCTTTCTAGCAACTCCGTGTATATTTGGTGGCAATGCAAACCATTTGTCAGAATCTGCTGTCAGTGGCCCCGTGGAATTATCTCAGTCTTTGTCCCTCACAGGGGCAGTTTTATCGTCTTGCACACATTCAAAGTCTATTGTGCATGATATATTTTTTGCATCGTGTTCCTCAGGGGTCCGTTTGGGCCCATTTTCATCTGAAGTTGCGTCGCTCGAGTGGGCATGTGCTCTGCATGGTTTAGACTTTAGGGGGTCTCATCCCTTGCTCGACTTGTGAAAAATGTTGCTGCAACATCTACTCCACAGTGAATGCATCGTTTTGGACGCACGTCTCAAGCATCGTGATTACACTGCATGTTGTGAGGTTGCCGCAGGGTTTGGCACACCTTCGAATTTGGTCGAGTTCATACTCGACGAGTTGACGTCAGCGGATGTTTCTGCTATATCAGGCGGCGATCTTTGGTTTATTGCGCAGAGCATTTGTAGCGTTTTAGACTCTACCCGCATTCCAGACTCACATCTCAGGCGAAGGGCTATTAGTATTCTCAATATTTTTTGTAGCTGTGGAGTATATGAGCATGCATCTCAATCATTTCAGTCATTGTTTTCCAAGACAGAACATATGTCAAAAGCTTCTTTGGAAGCTATAGCATCTTGGCATGGTTTGTGTTTTGTGGGTACAAAGGATCAGTTGTTGGATTGGATTATTGATCATGTATTGAGGGGTAAATGCACTCTGCATGCGGCCAATTCTCGCGTCGCTTGTTCTCATATCAGCGATGAGTTGTGCTCTGAGAGTGTTGAGGATGATGACCTTAGGACTCATAGTTCTATAGATAGCTTGCATGGTTCTCCTGACACGAGCCAAGAGGTTGTCAAATTTCAAATTCGTGCTCTAAGTTTGTTGCGCAAAACTAATGTATCTTCATGCGGTGTAGCAATAGTAGTAGTGAAAAAAAAGCCCAAACAGGTAGCAGGTGTTGCCACTTTAGCTGGCGCTATAGCTTATTTATGTAGTAAATAGAATGGTAGTGTTGTAGTGATAATTGACTAGACTGACTTGATAGAATTTTCGCATTTTGGTCATGTGACATTTCTTTGGTATATATTGCTATTATTAATGAGGTTTATCAATGGTCTTGTGGCTTAGTGGTTATTATGCTGCACTTCTAATTGCTGAGGTCTTGGGTTCAATAATGGCGTTCAAAGTAAATTTCACAGAGCTCGCTAAGCTCGGTAAAGCTTGGTAAAGCTCGGTAAACGTCAGTTAAATCGGTCTGAAAAATGTTAACACAAGTACGGCTCCGTTCGGCATCGCGGTCGGACTTTGAAGAGAGACTTAGTGTTTGGGAAGGTGAAGAGGCGCAGATGCACAGATGGATTACTGTACTAAGTACAAAATAAGCTACATACGAACTATCATAGTGACCGTTTCAGAGAGGATCATAAGCCTGCGAACATTTGTCTCTCATGACGAAATGCGAATTGTAAGACTGGACTGAGGGGCAGGTGGTACTAGTCGTGCGGATCGAGACTGAAAATGTAAGCTGAAAATGTGATGACGACGGTGAACACTTGTATCGCCGGGATCCATATATGAATGCACCTGAGTTGTGGCCTGCCCCGAGGGAGAGTAATTTGGAGGTAAGGGCAACGTAGCAGGGAACTACAAGGTGAGGGTCAAATCGACTGCGAAGGCAACAGAAAGAAGAAACATATGTCCAGCGGATCACGAGGTTTGTGGTTCTGAATAGGACGGAGTGCATTTGTGCGGGAGGAGGAAGGGAGAAGTTTGCGAAGGTAGTGAATGAAAGTGGGTCGCTGTGGGTCTTTTGTGAGTTTTGGCGGGATGCGGACAGGAACCTCAAACGATCTGCCTTTGTTTGAAACGGGTGAGCTGCATGGAGAGGAATAGACATGAGAGCTGCAGTCGGACACAACTGGATTCGAGAGCGGCATGTTAGTTTGAGGACATTGATGATGGGCAGCACTATGAGATCCGTCCTCGACTCCCCTGGTGGATGGCAAAGGAACATGATGAGGGTGGTGTGAGAGATGCCAAACGGGTGCTAGAGTGTCGTTGTCGTTGATGGTGCTGGTGCTGCACCAGAGTGCTTGTTACCACAAAAGGAAAATTTAAACTCCGACCCCATATTTGGATTTCATTCACACGGAGTGGTAAGCTGATCAATAAGGATCGATAAGGATCGATAAGCATATTCATATTGGTGTCTCTTGAACCTCATCATGCCCCATCTTTCCCTACGCAACCAGCTGCTTGATGAACTGGATGAGGCAGAATTAGCCTTAACCATTTCCAAGTACAAGCATGCACTTCGTACTATGACCCTATCCGACTTTTCCGACTCTGATTCTGATTCTGACTTGGATATGGTCCTCACTCCTCCATCTCCTCTTACCCCACAATTATCTGACTATTCGGACTCGGACTTGGACTCAGACTCGGATGATGAAAGCACCCATGTTGCTGCACATTACGACCACCTTCATGACACTATCACTTCCCTTCGTGATGAGGTCTCAAGGGCACGTTGTAGAAACAACAATACTGCCAGGAACAAAGATAGCTCCTAGCTGTATCTATAAATGTTGTAGGTCGTGCGTTGCCTAGTCTGCGATACTTGAGATGGCAAGTGCGTTCGACCCTATAGGGGAAGCGAGTGCAGTGAAGATCTACAGGTACGCGCTGAAGCGAAGCACGAGAAAGCGCAGGTGCGCGCAAGGCGCGGGAACACGCGCGCGTATTAGCGCGAAGTGCGGGAAAGTGCGCGTGCGTATGCAGAAACAACAGAGAGGTTAGACTTAAGTGATGATATGATACTAGATAAGAGAAGAGAGATGCGAGGTGTAAACAGATAGAGTTCTACTATGTTCTGCTAAGTAGTAAGTAAGTAGTAATAAGTAAATGGGAGGTAAAGTAAGGTAAAGTGTAGTATGTACTGCTGGCGCTTATATAGCGCACCTAAGCGCGGTCATGCAGAGCCGAAGTGCTACCGAGTAGGTATGTAAAAATATATATGAGTGAGAAACTATGATAAAAATAAAGGTGGAACTATGCTAATAAAGGAAATGGAAATATACGTACTAGGGAGCTTGGTGGACAGTGGATGGATGCATCTGAATGGCTGGTGCTATAGGGCGCGGGAATGCGTGCGTGCACATACATCGTGAAGCGCGGGAATGGTGCGCGCATGGTGCGCATTGTGCGGGAAAGCTGCGCCTCATATAGAGATAGCTGCGGGTAGCGCACAGAGTGACACTACAAGTTCATGCTATGTACTTCCTAGTGTAAAGCTGTCATATCAGACCATGAGACACATGAGTCTCTACAACGTGTCCTTCAAAAGCCAGATGCACCTCCTATGCGGGCCCCTCAAATTCACCTCCTTCATGATTTTGGGACATCTCGCACTCATCTCTTCCAGAAGAAACTACGCGTCAATCCAGAGATCTTTGATGATATCCTTGATCACATCTCAGGTCACCCCATCTTCACTAATCAGTCCAATAACCCCCAGCTTCCAGTTGCTATTCAACTAGCCATTTTTCTCAACCGCGCTGGGCACTATGGCAATGCCATTTCCCCAGAAGATGTGGGTCAATGGGCAGGTGTTAGTGTGGGGTCAGTAATCAATTGCAGCAACTGTGTCATGATTGCCCTCCTTGATCTGCATGACACATTCATCCAATTTCCTACTCCTGACTCCGAAGATGCTGAGCATGCTCGGCAATTTGTTGAGGCTAGGTCCTGCCCTGAGTGGAGAAATGGTATTTTTGCAATTGATGGTTCTGCCATTAATTTGTATGAAAACCTGGTCTTTATGGTGAGGCATTTTATGACAGGAAGTCTAACTATTCCCTCAACTGTCAGGTATTTTTTTTCTCTTATTCTAACGGTCAGAAATTAATAAAAAATTCAGGCAATCATTATGCCTCATAACCTCCTCATAGTTGATTATTCACTGGGTAACCCTGGCAGTACACATGATGCTTATGCCTTCAAATCCACTCGTGTTTATCAGGAGCATGACACTCTTCTTCCAGAGGACCATTGGATTTGGGCAGATAGTGCCTACCCACTTGAGAAGTGATGCATTGCCCCTTTCAAGAAGCCACGTAATGGGAGGTTGACCAGGGACCAGAAATCCTTCAATATTAACCTCTCTCAGGTATTTCTAATTTTTTTGCTGATTTTTGCAATTTTCACTGATTTTTTATTCATATAGATCCGTGTTCGTGTTGAACATGCATTTGCAGCTTTGAAAGGACGATTCCAGTCTCTCAAGGAACTTAGGCACCCACTTCAGAACCAGAAGGATCTTCAGGTCACTCTGCATTGGGTTAGGTGTTGCCTAATCCTTCATAATATGATCATCCGCTTTGAGGAGATTCGCAAGAAATCCACACTTGTATGGGCTGTTCGAGAGGGGAACAATACTATACGCCATGAGGATGAAGGACCAGATGGTGATGAAGTAGTGGGTGATAGGTCTTATGAAGGCACTCCAGGTCAAGCTCACAGGGCAAGGCTAATGGATTTGTTGTTTGATAGCCCTCATTCACAAGCACACCATCAGGCAGATTGAGCAAACAAGCAGAGTAACATTGTGTATAGCTAAACAAATGTACTACTAAATTTTACAACTAGTGATCAACTTGTGGCCATATGTGAGAACACTACATGCAAACATAACAAGACATATAACATCCAAGACATGTAAGAGTATAACGACGCAAGAACATAACAACAACAACACGAGAACACAACAACAACAACACGAGAATGTGATGATGACGACGACGCGAGAAGGTGATGATGACGACGACGACGCGAGAACATGATGATGATGATGGCGGCGCAAGAACGTGATGATGATGACGACACGAGAAGTCAGGTACCAGCAGGTTTGCCACCCTGGGCATTGAGCTGGGCCCACTGAATCCGGAGGCATAGAACATCTGCTTCCGAGGCAAAAGCAGCGGCATCTGCTTCACGTAGGCAAATATCTACCTCTTTAGCCTCCTTCATGCGCTGATGGACTATGGCAGCATCTGTGCGCTCATCCATATGCTCCTCACGCATCAGACGATGCTCCTTGTCCTGGCGACTAGCGTTGAGCTTCACCATAAGGCGCTCGTTCTTCAGCTGATATAAGGTTAGCTTGTCAGAGTGAATACTTTCCAGGTCGTCATTGAGTGCATCCATTTGCTTGCAAATCTCTGTCCGGAGACGTTTGGAGACTGAACTTGCTGGCGTCGTCGAGACAGATGTTTGCGCTGTTGGGGAGGACTGTTGTGATGACGGCTCGTGAGATGATGATGGCTTTCGAGAGTGCGACAATGAGCGCGACCCTGATGATGCCATAGAGCCCGATTTACTCTTTTCATGCATCATCACCTGGCTAACATGCGACTTGAATGTAGCGCGATCATGCTGGACAGAAGTGAGGGGGGGCACCTGTTGCGTATGAGAGGTAGTAGTAGGGGAGGGGGGGGAAGGGGGCTCCTGGCGCTTCTTCCCAGCCCTGCGTCTTGGCAGGCTGTCCAGGCTGATCGTGTTGCTGTCGTCATGAATAATTTTATCCAGGGAATCCATATTAAGATCCTCCATCTCACCCGCAAGAGGGTTGTCATCGTAGATACCGTCAAAATTATAATCATCAGTAGGGGAATGAGCGACGGGAGAGTAAGTACCATCGTGAGATGTAGCACCGGAGGGAAGCGGTGGGTAACAAAAAACAGGGGACCCGGCAGAACTGTTGGTGTGAGTGCTTGGTGGCGGTGGCACATAGTTCCATTGCGAAGGGCTACCACCACTGCCTCCAGGAGCAGGGGGAGTGTGACAAAAGGGGGAGGTAGGTGGTGCTGCAGCTGTGGCACCACCTGCATGAGCATTTGGAGCAGGGGGAGTGTGATAAAATTGGGGGGAGGTAGGTGGTGCTGCGGCTGTGGCACCACCTGCATGAGCGTTTGGAGGAAGGTAGTCATAAGTGGGTCCAGTTGATGACCCAGCAACGCCGCCAGCTGGAGCATTTGGGAGAGGCATGTTGCCAAGTTGCATGGGAGAGCCAGGATCAGTGCTGGAGGAAGCAGGGGGACGAAGAGAGCCACCTGAAGGACGGGTGAGAGAAAAGAGATCACTCATGTGATCAACGCCCAGCTTTGACGATGACATTTTGGCAGAGAATGATGGATGGGAGCCCCAGATGGAGTAGAGCTGATCGTACCAGGGAAAGTCCTTCTCGTATTTACCTACAAATTTAATTAGAAGAATTCGTGTAGGGAGGAGAAGACTCACGATGCAAATTTACGCTTGTCTCTGAATCGATGGGCACGATGCCTGCACCCATGGACTCAAATTCAGCACGAATGTCATGAAATTTAGTGTGGAGGCTGTGATCAGCGATCAGCATTGATGATTATAAAAATAGGGGGGGATCACTTACACCACGATGCGATTATATACAGAGTCCCGAAATTTGTTGGGATTCAAGGCGTAGAGCACTGCGTATTGAGGATCGTCGGAGAAAATAACCTTTGCAATGACAGCATGGATTTCTTTTTTGTCTTTGCCTGAGGGGCGGCCCTCAGCTTCACGGTTGGCTGGATTCTTCTTTTCACTGGCAAACAGAATGCGGCAATCTGGTGGGTGTCCAATGAGGTAGTCAACCAGCCTATTGGTCCGCTGGGGAACCGCTTGCCAGCTGATAGAGATAGTAGGAGAAGTAGTAGCTCTATCTTTACCTCCTCTGCCACGTTTTCCCTTTCCCCGTGCAGGAGGAGCTGGTGGTGGCTCCATAAATTTCAGCCCGGTCTTGCAACGTCGCGGGGAGATGATTTGAGACTGTATCTGTAGTTGCGCAGAGCGACGAAGTTGTGGTCGTAGGGCAGGCATGTCTTTTGGGACTCCGATCGATGCCAGCCCAAGCCGTAGTGTGACAAATCTTATTTTTGACCGAGTTTACCGAGCTTTACAGAGCTTAGTGAGCTCTGTGAAATTTACTTTGAACGCCATTAATGTTTATTCGTTGACTTACGAAGTACGTCAGAATGTTGGGTAAATTGACTAATCCCATCCCTCTAAGAGAAAGCGGATCAGCTTCACTCGCATAGCTTCGCTAGTACTCTCACGCGAAGTACATCACACCTGTGCTCGGTTGGTTCAGTGTTTACAATATTGGTGCGACGAAATACCATCTTGGAATATGACCTCATGGGTATCTCTCCTAGATATTAGGTAGAACCGCGGTGATCCCCTAGCTTTCCAAGTCCTGATGACTGTGAGGACAAAGATGATTGATTCGACGTAGATAAATATTATCACCCATGATGTCGTCCCATGATCTGCAATTGGACAATTCTGTAGCGCCATCAATTTACACCGAGATGTAACAGAATACACTGACGCATAGATCTGGCAGGACTTTTGAGCAGGCATGTGTAATGATGAAGGGAATGACATACATTGGTGTTGTGTATATTTCATGGCAGTGGCCGTTGTCGACCGCCCTCTGTGTTACATCAGGTCCAAATTTACATAGAATTCACCCATTCTTTTTGGAGTCCAGATGTAAAATTGCCCTTACTTCTGCACTGTCTAAATCGAATAGCAAAGGGGCAAATCTCGATGAGAACCTGATAAGTACAGAATGTGTTGCGCTGCGACCTGATAAAGTACCGAAAAAATCCCTGAATCACACAAACACTATGGAGACCGGAACATCAAGGTCAGTTTCTAATGGTCAACTGCATAGCCGAGTGTAGATCCTTACTAGAGTTAGACGTGGAATTGTTCGGAAGAAAATGGGTAGCGATATCAACAAAACAGAACTACACAACAGCACCAGTATGGCAGTAGCTCGAAGCTCAGCGCTCAGGTTCCGGAGGGAGAATGCCCGAATATTCATCAGCAAACTACTGAGGCCTTGTACACATTTGTACAAGCCTCACAAGCCCACAGCTAAGCCCCCGCTGTACAGGCTTGTACAAGCCCTACAAGGTCACCTTGTACTCCTTGTAAAGCTTGTGGGCTTGTGGATTTTCGACCACAAAGGCCAAAAGAAGTATCACTAGACTGTGTGACATGTGGTGTGACTTGTCTTGTGGGCTTGTGGTCGAAAATCCACAAGCCCACAAGCTTTACAAGGAGTACAAGGTGACCTTGTAGGGCTTGTACAAGCCTGTACAGCGGGGGCTTAGCTGTGGGCTTGTGAGGCTTGTACAAATGTGTACAAGGCCTCAGTAGTTTGCTGATGAATATTCGGGCATTCTCCCTCCGGAACCTGAGCGCTGAGCTTCGAGCTACTGCCATACTGGTGCTGTTGTGTAGTTCTGTTTTGTTGATATCGCTACCCATTTTCTTCCGAACAATTCCACGTCTAACTCTAGTAAGGATCTACACTCGGCTATGCAGTTGACCATTAGAAACTGACCTTGATGTTCCGGTCTCCATAGTGTTTGTGTGATTCAGGGATTTTTTCGGTACTTTATCAGGTCGCAGCGCAACACATTCTGTACTTATCAGGTTCTCATCGAGATTTGCCCCTTTGCTATTCGATTTAGACAGTGCAGAAGTAAGGGCAATTTTACATCTGGACTCCAAAAAGAATGGGTGAATTCTATGTAAATTTGGACCTGATGTAACACAGAGGGCGGTCGACAACGGCCACTGCCATGAAATATACACAACACCAATGTATGTCATTCCCTTCATCATTACACATGCCTGCTCAAAAGTCCTGCCAGATCTATGCGTCAGTGTATTCTGTTACATCTCGGTGTAGGGATTCATTTCTGGTTGGGCTTGTAGAGACTGTTTTTACCTTACCTTATGTTGGCACTTTTGTAGCTTACATAATCAAGCAATCTTTTCACCAGTTACCAGTATGAGTCTGAGAGATCAGCAAGTTTTTATGGTATTTCCTCTCCTCTGAGCCTTGAGCCTGGTCCAGAAACCCTTTAGGGTCGAATAGCAGCTAGGTTCTGCAAGACCCAACACATTGTTCAGACTCACCATCTGAATTGTTGTACCTTCATCGGTGTAAATTGATGGCGCTACAGAATTGTCCAATTGCAGATCATGGGACGACATCATGGGTGATAATATTTATCTACGTCGAATCAATCATCTTTGTCCTCACAGTCATCAGGACTTGGAAAGCTAGGGGATCACCGCGGTTCTACCTAATATCTAGGAGAGATACCCATGAGGTCATATTCCAAGATGGTATTTCGTCGCACCAATATTGTAAACACTGAACCAACCGAGCACAGGTGTGATGTACTTCGCGTGAGAGTACTAGCGAAGCTATGCGAGTGAAGCTGATCCGCTTTCTCTTAGAGGGATGGGATTAGTCAATTTACCCAACATTCTGACGTACTTCGTAAGTCAACGAATAAACATTAATCCAATCGCACACTCACCATAATCTAGTGCGGTACAGTGAGCACACACCCGCATGTTTTCACAAGGAAGCACGGCTCTATCCTCTTTCAACTCCGCACGGGTCACATCGCGCTCAACAAGCACTTGCATCGCATATCAAAAGCCCCGCCAGCCAAATGTGAACATTGCAACGCGCACGAGGAAACAGTCCACCATTTCCTACTCACCTGCTCGTCATTCATCAGACAGCGCACCGCTCTGAGACTCGAAGTCGGCCAACGCAATTGCAACTTCAAGTACCTACTCAATGAGTACAAAGGAATGAGGGCAACACTCAAGTACACAGCACGCACAAAACGCTTCGAACGCACCTTCGGCGACGTGACCCCCCCAGAGGAAAGAGAAGAGCAGACGAAAGCATAGTCATAGAGAGATGAAGCACCCCGCTAAAGCCACCCCATACCTCCCATCCCCAATGCCTCCAGAAGGCTCCAAACGTCCTCGCTCACGCCGGAACCATTGTCATAGATACGATAACAGTACATATATGTAGGTAATGTCCAACATAGGGCGGACACTAAACAAAGATTCAAAAAAAAAATGGCTGCGCTGCGCAACTTGGTACGGTCCTACTGCGGAACTCCGAACTAGTACTTAGCGGTACATCGATCTGTAGAACTTTACTGACATAACACCTACCCACCACTGCGGTTCTCTGCCCATGAACCTAGTCAGTTCATCGACCTGTTTCTGAATAGGGCGGTAATTATAACTCTCTGGTTGGTCGTTGAAGATGTACAACACGCAAACAGTATTGTCATACATGCATTCCGCTGGAATGATCTGCCCGGGAGGTGGAATTGCATAAGTCGTTGATAGCGAACGGATGTGGAAGGTTTTTCTGAAGCTGTAGGTGGGGTTCACTCTGGCGTTGCTACGGGCCTTGGATTCAGAAAAATCGGGGTGTACTTTAGCGAGGAAGGAAAGAGCTGTCTGATAAAGCCACTCCTCAGATATGTAGTAACCGTACATCTGAGCATTATGTTGCGGAGGTGGAAGGATTATATTGATACGGCGTCGGGACTCTTTGGTACGTCCAGAATCATGTTGTTGGTCTTGCTTGGGTTCACCAAGCTGGGCAAGAGTAATTAAGGGGAATATCAACGAATGACACCTGGACACACCTGCATGCTGGACATCGCTTCATCGAGGCTTTGGAATTGTTGTAGAGACATGTTCTTATGATTCAGGTTTCGAGCAAGACGACGACAAATTATAAAGCAATAGTAGTAGAGCAATAGCTTCACAGCTGCAGGTTAGGGGTGCGTGGCGGCGCAGTGGATGTTTTATTTGTTCAGGGTGATGGCCATTTGCATATGTAATCCCCGACTCCCACGAGGAGGGCTCAGCGCATCGCTGCCGCACCACACCGAAACAATCATTCAACGCTCATTGATTACATTTCCGACAACTACTCTATTGATTCATACACAAGCTAATCGACCTAGCAGTATTACTCGTCGAACTCATCAACTATGCGCCTCTCGGAACTCTTGAGATTCAATAACAGACAATCGACATCCGAGTCCACATACCAAGACCAGTCCGAGTCAGAACTCTGACATTCACAAATGGCCGTGTCTTATTTTCGCCGGCGTGTCTCAGTGTTTAATGTGTATTTGAGTTCTTCTTTCGAAAGTCCCTCTCAACCTCTACTATCTCAAGAAGCCTTGCTGGCAGTTTCTTTCCGAAAGACCTCGCAATACAGGTTCTGTTGTCTTCAATCTACACCCACGCATACTCGACTATTTGTTGTTTTCTCTTGCACAATGGCTAGTGTCGATGTCGACCTTCGACTACGTCTCGCCATCAGTGCCGCTGCCAGTGACATACGCCACAGGAAATGCCCGTGGTATGGAGTTTGGGACATTTGCCTGAATCAATACATGTTTCCGCACTCGGACTCAGATATCGTGACTGAAACAACGGTCTGCCTGTCAAACCCACAATATTCGCTCACCTGGACCTACGACGTTGATAATGATATGACACCATCCAACCATTCATCACAACAGCCTAGTGACTTGAGCAGCATGCAGATATCTCCGTCGCCTCCCGGGCCGAATTAAATTTCACAAAGGTCCATTAAAATACCTGATTTCACGCAAATTCTTTATCGCACCAGTCCAACTCAACCAGAGGGATCTCCAAGTCTGCCCTGTGTCGGTAAAAAAACGTGTCATCCTCACCATTGAGGTCAAGCCAGGAATCAAATCCCACAAAGCGTTCAAAGAAATCCTAGACGAACAAGTGGCAAAGCAGGCAATCCACGCATTTGCTGATGATCAAGACCTCAAATCACTTGGCGTGGTTCTTGCTTGCGGACTGGATTGGGCTTATTACCATGCTGAACAGCCACATTCCAACGAGATGAAACACTGGGAGAAGACTATGATAAACGACCCCGACTATAATCCAGAGACGCCACATCCTTCAGTTAGTATGACATCAAGCGAGTCGTCAGAAGTTTCCTCTGCCCTCTCTGAGCCCCCCGATGTCATATTCTCCATTCCTGGTTGTGTTGAGGACATTATGAACAAACGTGTAAAATTCTCCTTTGAAGACATCCCGCGCTGCAAGCAAGCTTTGGTTCAGATTGCGGCCCATCTGAAGGCCTCCAACAGCCTCTTTTGGGGATTACCGGGCAATGGGAAATGCAGTGCCTGTACTGGATTTGTTTGTTTCGACACTTCGTCGCATCTGTTTACTCACACTGACCTGCATTATTTATATAGGAGCAAAAGAGGGACGAGCGTATACAAAAGTGGAAAGACGTCCTGCACCATGTATAGCGAGAGGTGAGTTTGTCCTTTGATCACTTTTTCGTATTCAAGCTACATCTCACATCAACCAATGTTAGTTTCCAAGTCGTAGTTGAAAGCTTACACGTTTAAGTTCACTGGACATTATTTACTTGCATATCAGGTTATGAAGTTTGCGAGACACACCTAGCATGCATACGAGGCACTGGAATCAGGGCAAACATTGAAGTGAAAAAATCATACGATCAACGGAGTTGGTTGGCGGAGGAACGACGAGGTTGTGAATAAGCGTAAGCATGAATTCATGGTCGTGTTTCGTAGTTTTGGAGGATGAAATGGGAGAAAAGAAAGCCACGAGCGTGGGCCAGATTTCGCTCTACGCGCCTTGGTGAGCTTGCGCTTCCCAGTCTGGTAGAAGGACGCAGACTCTGCGGGAACGGTGTTACGAGAATGAAGTTGTGGGCGCTCTTCGAGCAGTTTGTCCACGTCTATTGGTGGAATCCCTACATCAAGTTTTCACCAACCTCGCCTCTAGTCGTGCTCGTAAACTGCCATCAGGCGTGATATGCGGAGATGTGCTATGAATGGACGATCGCAGAGATATACCATGTACCATGTTCGGACCAGGTATCAGGTTTGGTGGTAGCGTGAGGTATAGTGTATGAATCTGCTGGGAGACTGGTCAGGACTCAGGTTGTTCTATGTATGACGAATAGACAGCCAAAATCCATAAACAAGCTTTCCACTTCACGACTGAAACAGTGGAAAGAACCTCACCTCCGTTCCTCGTGCGACAAGCAAGCATAGACTCTCCTGAACTAAAATGGAGCACCACTGGAGCACGCCCACTGGATCCCAACGACGCATTCTTCAGCTTCGCGAGCTGCTTCTCAGCTGTGAGAGCTGCGGCCTTACTTGTATCCAATACAGATGCTAATGTGTACGAGGAACGCGACGAGGACAAATTTTTGAGCAAGCGAGGTGGTGGCATCTGTTTCTGTGTCTGTGCACCTGAGAACGATGCAGGACGAGAAGAGCCAGGAGGGCTGAGCGAAGGTAAGTGCGCTTGTCCATCATAGTTGAAGTCCGTTTCACAACCTCCAGATCCCACTTCGTTCTCAAAGCCATACACCGTCTCTCTTCCTGAGAAATTGGCGCTGTGGATGTGCTCTCTTGGCGAATAGGAATTTCTTGGTGAACGTGGACAAGGCTCTAGAGAAGGAAAAGGAGGAGGTTCATCGATGACTACTGTTGCATCCACGTAGGTCGGTAGGCTGTGATCAAGGAGGGAGAGACGTGCAAGGGCCCTACCACTATTTTGGTTTTGGTGGACTTAGAGTGGGGTCGGGGACGATCGTTGATGCAAATATACGACCTGAAATGCAAGAAATGTTAACCAATTCTTCTCATTTGTGAAAGAATTGAGGAAGAATGAAAGCAGGAATGAGTGTGAGAGAAGGAGCGCAGGATACTCACCAGAGACAATAAATTCCACACTCACGCTCCCAACTGCACGCATACGTTTCTGCCACATCGCAATATCCAGTGTTGCAGAAAAAGCACCATCAGGGTCCTCTTCAACACGCACGTCATCTGGTGGGCGCTGACCAAGAAGCAGTCCATCGGTAGCTGGCAACAAAACATCAGCCCCAATCTAGCTTCCCAGCTCAGACTTACCATTCCGAAGCCCACTTGCGCACAACCCGACACTAAATCTAAGGTTTTGAAATAATGGCTGATTACTCGCCACCAAACATGCCTTCCTCATTTCACTGAGTGTCACAGGGGTTAAGGGGGAGGCATATTTGAGCAGAGCATCAAGGAGGGAGGAGCGATGGTTGACAATAGTTCAATAGATGGCAGTGTGACCTGCTATATCCGGCTCTTGAAGAAGCGTAGACAGCGACAGGTGCTTCGCAGAGCATGTTTGGGCGTAGGAAGCCAGCATTTCATGTGGATCTGCTTGGGCCAATTGCGGAGATTTGGGACTCAAGTTAGCGGAGTTGGTTGGCGGAGGAACGACGAGGTCGTGAATAAGCGTAAGCATGAACTCATAGTCGTGTTTCGTAGTTTTGGAGGATGAAAACGGGAGAAAAGAAAGCCATGAGCTTGGGCCAGATGTTGCTCTACGCGCCTTGGTGAGCTTGCGCTTCCCAGTCTGGTAGGAGAAGGATGCAGACTCTGCGGGAACGGTTTCACGAGAATAAAGCTGTGAGCACTCTTCATAGTATGTATTAACGCATTGAATTCAAAGCATATAATCAGCTTTAAGACGCGTACGGCTTGGGTTGCTTCCCACACAAGTCCTTTGCACCCCTTCAGTTTCTTCTTCCCTGAAAACAGGTTACCCTCGAATATCTCGATTGAAGTGTCGGAATCCACCGTGTCGTCAAGGTCGCCAAACGCTTTCCGTGGCTGCGAAGTGTCATGGACCTCTGAGTTGGTACGTTTTCGAGTGGGTGATTGGAGAATACTTTGACGATAGACTGCTCTCGTACTAGAAAAGACGCAGTTTTTTGCCGCCATTCTGGTAAGTCCGACTGGGGTGGAACGGTCTTGCCAAGGCCAAGTTGATTTTGCAATCAGACGCGTCTAGACGCGCCTTGTCACGTGATCGGGAATGATCGGAAATGAAAGCCAAATATACATACACTCATCATGTATGATTCTTCAACATCTTCTGCGATTTCATTAATACATAAGATTATAGTTTGAGTTCTATGTGCAGGCGAGTCATACAGTAAACATTAACGCAATCCTCTCAGGGAGCTGCCATCCTGGCCCGCGGTGGAGTAAAGACCACATGATAGCACACCTGACATGAGCTCCGCATCTTAGTTAAGTTATATCAAAATCCCTCAATACATAATAATTTGATCGATCATAAATGAGATACTTTTTTGATTTAATTCTTCACTTTTCCCCGTTATCTTTGGTCTCCTTTTCACCAATTCGTGAAGTTCATTCCACAAGGTGAATGACTAGCCCAATTGAATGTCAGACAATACTTATTCACGTGCACCGTTCAGTCTAGCATTTTTTCCGTTTGATTCGGAGCTGCACGTTGGAGGTTGGAGTAATGGCACACATATCCCAGATATCCGGGACACCATCGTCCCTTCCCCAAGATTATGCCATTCTATCTCGTTTTGCTGCTCCCCTTCCAGAAGAAGCTCAGGAAGGACTTGAAGCTTCTTCTATCAGGAACGACCAGGAAGAGTATGGTGAAGAGGATGGCTTGCTTGCACCACGGAGGCAGGTTAGGCGCACCAGCTTCCCTGCATCGTATATCATTCCGCCGCAACCGTCCATGAAAATAATTTCCCAAGTATCTACTGTCCTCCAGCCAACTGAGACCACGCACCTCCTGGCGCCATTGATTCCGCTTATCCGGGAGAATGTGGACTTTCCTAGTGATGGACATGAACCTAGTACCACTCAAATGTACTGGGAAGAATTTTGGATCTTGTTGAAATACACCTTGCCTGTCTTTGGGTGAGTTCATACACCAAATGTACTATCAACTGACCCAAACCTTTTTGTCAGCACGCATGTTTTTGAGCACAGCATGATAATGTCATCTGTGATCTCCATCGGCCATATTTCAACCGTCGCTCTTGCTGCCGCAACTATTGGGTTCATGACTGCTAATGTCACCGGTCTGAGCATTATCCATGGTCTTGTTTCAACCTTAGACACAATGCTTCCCGGGGCTTGGACCTCTGATCAACCGCACCTTGTTGGACTGTGGACGCAGCGCATGAGTGAGTATGATTGTTTTTTTGATGCTCGCTACTTACCATTCGTTAAAAGCGGTTGTCGTGGCTGTTACACTTATAGTAAGTCGTCGAATCCCGTCGAACGTGGTTTTCGCTGATCATCGGCTTATTAGCCTATGTTTGTTATATGGTTCAATGCGGAGCCTATCCTGCTTTTGCTGAGGCAAGAACCGGAGGTTGCGCGACTCGCTGGTATTTACTTGAAATGGGCCTCGTTAGGTCTGCCGGCCTATGCATTCAATTGCATTTCCCGGTAAGCTTGGCTTCCTTCACTTTTAAACCATCGTCCTAATTGGCACGTTAGCCGATATTTCCAGTCCCAAGGTGTGTAGGTCTGTAGCTCGATGCTCACCATTAATTCCCGTCAAGGTCTCTTCGCTGTGCCGACTCGTATCATCATGGCAGTGGCACCTATCAACGTGCTTTTGAATTATGGGCTGGGTGTGTTTTGACGATTGGGTTTGACTATCTCATACTTACGCGTTCGCTGTAGTATGGGGTCCGGAACCAATCAGATTAGGTTTCATTGGCGCCCCGATAGCGACATCGATTTCCTACAATCTTGTGTCGATAGCCTCTGTTATCTACGGCATTTTCTTTGTTGAGAAGACTGCCTGGCATCCACTGTCACGGCGATCCTTCACCTCCTTGGGTCTTCTTGTTCAGCTTGGGTTAGGTGGCGTTGGTGAGTAGATGAGGCAATATTGCACGCTCCCAAGCTCATCCGAAACTACTTATCTCCAATGTAGGTCAGGTTGCTTCAGAGTGGTGGTCGTGGGAACTAGTCGGGCGTGCGTACTTTTCCTCGGTTGTCCTCGGGAGAAAACACACTGAATCTCGATCTCACAGTTGCTGCTAGCTTGTAAGTGTTACGTTCCTGCATGATCGAATCAACCGACGTTCTGTATATAGCCTTGGGCCAACAGCGTTGGCAACCCAATCAGTTCTTTTATCGACCTGTTCATCCACTTTTCAAGCCGCATTTTCTTTGGGTATTGCGACCTCTGTCCGGTTCGTTCCTGTTCTGTGCGGGTGGCATATTGTTTCTAACTGAAACCAGTGTCGGAAATCTTCTTGGTGAAAAGAATGCAAGGCGTGCTGGAGTTTCTGCGAATACAGCTATTCTGCTCTCTGCTGTAGCAGCAGGATTCTTTAGGTTCGTTTTACTTCACTTGCCTTCAACGCTGCTTTTTTGAGACCTTGCCAGTGTCGTTTTGTTGGTTTTCCGCAAGTCATGGGGTTATTTATTCAACAACGATCCCGGTGTGTCCGAATACCATGATAGCAAAAGTTATACCCACTCACCGCATGGCTCACTTTGACACAGAGGTCGTGACACTTGTGGCACATATCCTGCCATTAGCGGGTTTGTTCCAAGTGCCTGACTTTGCATGCGCTATCACATCAGGAATACTGAGAGCGAGAGGCAAACAGGTACGCGCTCTGCCCATACTACGGTGGTCATCTGGCTGACCGGTCCTTATCAGTTCACTGGGGCTCTACTCAATCTTAGGTAATTTGTCACATCCACTCATTTGGTTCGATGTCTACTTATGCGTTCTTCAGCGCCTACTACGTCATTGGAATTCCCCTTGGATTGTGGCTTGCCTTCAAGCAAGACATGCAACTCGCAGGGCTTTGGGGTGGTCTCACCGTTGCTCTACTTTATTCGTCGACTCTTGGCATCTGGCTCTGCATTAAAACGGATTGGAAGAGGGAAGTGGAGAAAGTAGCGGAGCGCCTTGCTGTAGACAAGAAGTGCCGCGATGCGGACTCTGAACATCTGGTGCAATGATTGGTGAGCTAGTTGATGACGCATATTGGCCAGGAGGTGGCGTAGTGCAGTCCATTCACGTCTTTAACGACCTTATGAAGCTTACTTGAACTCAATCCCCTTGTGGGAAACTCTTTATCAGACTGTGCCTCGTCTAGCTGTGCTTTCAAGTGTGAACACATGACCACTCTCCAGATTCGTCCCTTGATACCCAACTTCCTAAGACTGCTTCTTTCGAAGCCTTGTCAGAATGTCAACTTGGATGTTGAGCGGTTCGGTGGAGGCACCATCCCTTTGTACTGGCGCCCGAGTCGGGCTAGGTGGTGACCTGATGGTTTGATCAACGGAGCAACGTCACTCACGCACTTTCTCATGGATGTCAATCAAATGGAAGTAGGTGTCTCGAGGAAGCACATTCAAAATGAACCTCTGCGTTGAACAAGGGTCAATAGTAGAGTTCGGCGTGCCAGACCTACCCCATATTGCATCAGGTCTCGTTATGCTGAGTGACGCACATTCAAAATCAGGACAATCCCGAACACTTGTTTCACCTCCCACAACTGACTCTGGTTACCCGATGGTTCCTGTGTCGCAGCAGCTGCCTCCACGATTCGCTTGCACTGTGCATTCTCACCGCTCTCGTACACGCGTTCTTTTATACTAGCCGAAGCTGGCGGTTGCTGTCTTGCGACGCTACGCTTCTGCTTTCCTTCTAGCGTAAAGTTCTGCTTTCTCACCAGTGTCGTACGCGTGTTCTTTGTAGCGGAAGCTGGCGGCTGGCGGTTGGCGACGCTGCAAGCAAAACTCCCCCAATTCGAAGATGGGGAATTTCCTGATGCGGCACAAATGGCGGCGAACTCCTTTTTAGTACAAAACACACCGATTTGAGGACCAAATGAACATATTTGCTCGAACAGATTGTAATTTCTGTCAAAAAACATGGCCGTAAGTACCCCTTAAAAAATTGCTAAAATCACCAATCGCTTCCTTTTGATCCCCTGATGCCGTTAAACCTTCTAGCGCTAAATTTTCATCAAGTGTCGAGGTCATTACTTCCGGTATGTCCAAAAACCTCGGACCCCAGCACATAAACATTGTTCCAAAAATACTGGGAAAGTATCGGAGGAGTACTTTTTAGTCGTATTTTCACTGACACCCTGGGCGGCTAGCGTCCTCATCCCGTTATCGGTTGCTTCGACGGCGATAAGAATGCGGCTGGGGGCACTTCGACGGTCACAGATCTTATCACTGGATCAGGATAATCTGTAAAGTCTTCGTCTTCGTCTTCCCTACCCAAAAACTATCGCACGATGAGCGAAGAGATATAAATATGCACAACGCGGTCTGCAATTTCAGTATCTAATCTTATACTAATGTTCGCAGCAGAAAGCTTAACGTTCCCACCGATGGAAGGCGACGTGACATTGGAAGGTCTGGATTGATGCTACCTATATCCACGACCCAGCCAACCTAGGCGGGTCTTGATGTTTCAAGAGCTTCAATACGGCTATCATAGGATAATGCAAAACTCCGCGAACCACCCACAACATCGTCCCCTGGCTTGGTTGCGGAGATACCCGCTTCGGGGCTTCTGATCGGCCCATGCCAGGAAGCCGCTCACCGCAAGAATGGTATTCAATCGGGATACTCCTGAGAGGGTTGGCTATTCAGGGATCCTCGCGTAATTAACGGTGCAGGCTGAGTCTACTGATTTCTCATTTATGAATGCACCTTCGGTCCTTCGGCCGATCTTGAAGCAGTTTGCGCTGCGACAGCGAAGGACGACAGCGACCTTTTAGAAATTATCTCGAGTCATAAAATGCGGATATGTCATCATTCTAGTTAGAAATAACAGCATCTAGATTGTTAAAAACGTATCGTGTCTAAGTATGTACCACCATAAAACCCCAATGGATACAGTATCTGTGATCATACAAGCCTATTGATTATACTTAGTTTGGTACATGCGAGGAGAGATTGCTTTCGATACAGTGCCTGTCAGGAGTCGATAACAGAAAAGAAATAAAACCATCAGAGTTTTGACATGGCAGGTTGCATTTTATTGAGATAGGCTGAAGCGACTACACTGCCTGTTTTTTTGTTAATGACCTAAGTAGAGAAACTCATTAATCAATCGTCAATTAATTGACCAAGAAAACAAACCTCGCATCGAGCGCTCATAATGCGGCCGCCCATAGCGATTGAAGTGCTGATGATACGCAAACACGACCCACTAGTGATAAGAGTGAGCGGGTACCGATGGGAATTGGTCACATCGACGTACACTGATCCAGGGGAGTGGAAGATGATGTTCATCGACTGAGTGACTCCCACTCCATTAATATTTTGTAGGAGTCCCAGAGTGACCAATGGAGTACTACAGCAGCTATGGTAGTCTGTCAGAACATCCCCAGAAGCGTCAAATCACTTCGTACTGACTTGTCAATCAAAAACGCCAGACATCCTCCATGGAGCATTCCCGCGCCATTCAACATGCCTAGGCAACTTGTGAGTAATCCCTAAATATGTCTCGTGTACGTTAACGTACTTTTTGAAACGATAACTTCTGCAATAGTCGTTGCCTCCATACGACCTTGTTTTTCGTGGCTTTCGTGGGCGCTGATGTCGATGAACTTCACTGCCTTGGCAACGGAATGACCAAAACAGTGCTCGTCACCAGCCCCGTATGCAACGAACGTGTTGAGGATGAGTTGCTTAACGTAGGGGGATACATTGCCCTGTATCTGAGATGCATCCCCACAGTCGGCCAAGTTCTTGGGGTCTACCCATACCTTGCGTGGTGGTGGATATGAGGATGTGCCGCCGTAGATGGAAGAGGATGAAGAAGAGGAAGGGGTATATGACTCATAAGTAGGAGAGGGACTGGCGTAAACGGGAGATGGCCTAGAAGACATGATTCGACTTAACAGAGACACGGTTAGTTGAACGGATTGGCACACCTTGGCAAACGAGGACCCGATATTTATCGAATGGCTTGACCCACATCAAGACTTTCGCTCGGCTATATTTAAATTAGTTTTGCTGGCGTAATGAGATCTAGGCATGTTTTGAGCAAACTTCTTGATGCGGCTTTGAACTGGTTGTCAGTGGCAGTTCTCAGATCTCCGTACCAGGTTGAGTAACACGCTAAGTGTGGAAGATCTCGTAATCCACGTGAGTTTGAATTGGAGTGCAACCAGGGATGCGGCAGTGAGTTTCCTGTGAATCCGAGAGTTAGGCCACCATCACTGGGTCAAGCCATTGGCGAAATTATATGTACGTACTGATGGATAGGGTACCCTCCAGATTTCATTGATGGTCCAGAGTCTCAGCTCAGTGTACAGCAAAAAACAGCAATTTGCAAGACACCGCCACGAGAACTTTTGGAAAATTATCTGGCAGCTGTGTACATGTTCGTCTTCAGCTTCCTAATTCTGGGGGATCCACACAGCGGATTCCCAAGTTGAAGATGCGGCCACGTTGAGGTGACGAGGACTGTGAGACCCGGCGGAAAACAGTTGAAATAAAGAACGTGTGAATCACTTGCTTGACTCCTGGACATTTTTTTCGGACCAATTCACCAAGGCTGTCCTCAAGATCCGCAGCATCGATAGATGTAGACCAACTACAGGAGTCAGGGTACTAAACGGGTACTCCAGAGAATGCAGGTTCAATGATGGTCGAGATCCTCACTGGCAGGAGACCCTAGGGACCTTAGGCTTCTTCGAGAGAGCCCGGTATTCTATGGTCAGTCATCCTCACGTCAACATCCCCCGGTTCACAGCTTCGAATTCCTTTCATCGCAAATGGCAGGGGTATCCTCCGACTCCGACTCTCTTCGGTTGCCACTGGCCAAGTGTTAGTCTTTCGACATGTACACGATTATGTTTGTGATTGGCTACCTGAAATACAAAGTGCAGACTGTACAGTGTCAACGATCAGTGAGTGCCAGGACATAACGTTTCGAAGCGACGTTAGTATCAAAACGTAAGGTAGTCAACAACTGGTCGATAGTGAATCCGTAATATGACACGACTTCCAGATAAGCTATGCACAGAAAACAGCAGACCCTCAATTGCAAGCTTTAGGTTTAATATTTCAGTTTGGAAAAGTCCGTTGATCTTGCACTGTGATTCTGATGGAGATGTTCTCCATTTAGGATCGATTGGTCGCAACTTCGGCAGGAGTATAATAGATAACCTAATCTACCCCAGCACCCTTGCAGGCATTGTAATATTGATTGACATTGAAGACGCAATTTTTTGTCAAGGTTTAACTGGTGCTGTTGTCAGTCATCAGTCAAGAGATAGCTGAATGATCTCTCTGCTTGAAATGCGGGAGTTACGGGCGCCACTTACACATGTTGAGGCGACGTCGGGGTCGAGGCTCGTCTTCAAAATGATGAGTGGACCAGGAAAGCCGCAACATCGCCCGTTCGTCAAACTTGCATATTGTGCAGCTTACTACACAGCACACACAGCTTGAACAATATCTCAAACTGACTCCCCGTCCTGCGGGGAAGCTTTAGTCACAGTCAAACGAAGTGTCATTAATCCCATTTCACAGGGTCGGAGATGAGCTCAGATGCACGAAGGGAAACAGAGGGGAACAGATGAAAATAGACTGACCGTGATGAAGGTGTCCAGAGATGTCCCCGGGCCCTTCGGTGACTGACCGCGGGGAACTGCAGGGACATTCAGAATATGGGTCCTGCTTCGCTTGCTCATGCGAGGGGAGTAAGCACAGAGTGACCTGGAGTAACTGACAAATGGCTGACGCTGCTTACAATGAATAATGATCAATGCGACGCCGCATTTCGCGCAATTTTTTTTTTGCCAAAAGTGGATGTGACTGATTGAAGGCAAACAAGATACAGCGTTATGGCTCATACCGAGACACGCGGCCGGCATATCGCAGCGTTGCATCGGTTTTGAGGGGGAAAAAAGGGTGGCATACCTCATAAACAGGGGCGGATGGAAGTTCGCGGGGACCAAGTGAGAGGTTCTGTAAGACTCGCCGTCTTTTCGACTTGAACACGAAAAAGATGTACTCGGATAGCCTCATGGGAAGATGTAAAAAAACGGTGAACCGGTCGAGCGCAAGAATTTTCAGGGATCTGGAGGGCTTGCATGCCCGCTTGCACTTAGACAAAAAGGTGACGCAGGTTAACTAGTAGTCTCCTCTAGGGCCAGTACTAGGTACGTTAGATAACCCGTTAAGGCAACCATTATTTCTGGCATTTTCAATGCTAAGGTAGTTGGCTAACAAATTGGGCAAAAATTGGAGGTGACGCGCGTCGTGTCCTCCAAGTACGCGTCCTCATTGAAAGCCTAATTCAAACCACCACAAGTACAACATGGAAACGTCATTTGCATTAACTGGCAAGGGCTACGTGATCGTAGCTGCCGACACTACCGCAGCCCGATCCATTGTCAAGATGCAGATCGACCAAGACAAAATCAAGGAGCTCAGTCCTCATCTTCTCATGGCGTACTCGGGTGAACCAGGTCAGCACAAACCTGATATGACCACTTCAATGTTTTTGAAAATGCAAACTTGACACAGGTGATACCGTCCAGTTTGCCGAATACGTCGAGCGCAATATTCGTCTGTACCAAATTCGTAATCTGTATCCTCTTCGCCCAGCCGCAGCCGCATCCTGGATCCGCCGTTCATTAGCGGAATCTCTGAGATCACGAAACCCGTACTCAGTGAACCTGCTGCTAGGCGGATATGACACGTCCTCGCACACACCGAACTTGTATTGGATTGATTACTTGGGGACAGTGGTGGAAGTACCATTTGCTGCGCATGGATATGGTAGTTACTTCGCCCTGAGTTTGCTTGACCGGTACGTTGGTCCTTATTGTGATTGTGATGCTTTATCTCGGTCCCCCAGTCCCTTCTTTCTTATTACTTGATGAAACGGTGTGCTGACCACTTCTATTTAGTTACCATGATCCAGAAGCATCCCTGGAAGAGGGTCTTGCTAATCTGAAACGTTGCATCGATGAGGTGGCGAAGCGTCTGGTGGTCAATCCAGGCAAATACAAGGTCAAAGTAGTTGACAAAGACGGTATTCGAGAAGTCGAGATATAATATCCCCCCTGGCAATGTGTACTGTAATGTGCTACCGCCATCTCCTTCTGTCCCTGTATATTTCTATTTCCATCTCTACAACTCAAACCAGAAAGACACTACCCTCTACTCGGTCCCCTCCAATGATACGCTCCGTCTTCTTCTCGCATGTAAGTATCTTTCGAATGCGTGAAAGTACACCTTCGTACTGTACCACATCCTGGGGAAACATAATGATTTGGACTGCTTTCTCGATATCCGACCTTCGAATTCTAGAGCCCCAAATACTCTCACAGTAGGTATCCACAAGCCTCACCCTCTCCAGGCTCGCCATTCTATTGACACAAAAGACCGCCGCCACAGACCCTGCACTCAGGAACGTTGCCTGACCTAAGTACAGAGTGCGAAGACCGGGAATCTCTGGGAGTAGTGGCATCACTGAATTGTCCGAATCAACGGAGAAAGTGATGTTAGTGACCGTGATATCCTGAACGTTTGACCAGGTGCCGAATATTCTACACAGGCGGCTTGCTATGGGCGCGACGATCTTGAATCTTCCCGTCAGACTTCTTCACCCAACATTTTTAGAATGCACGCACTGCGGTGGAAAAGTGGTGATCAGGGTCAGGTCCGGTCCACCGAAATACGCGGGGACTAGAGAATACAATTTCGGCAGCAACATTGTATTAGGGCGATGCACCTCTGGGAAGACATCCACATTATTTACTCACTTGGCAACAGACAGTGCCTCTTCGAACACATGGTGGCTTGTATCCCGTGAGTATGAATGGAGTCTCAGACAAAGAACCTCCAATGGGATCTGCTTCTGCCCTTGCCCCAGTCTCTCAGCACGATCGCGACACCTGCACAACGCCTCGCGAAGATGCTGCCAGACGTCTGATCTCGTAAACTTGCCTGTTAGATCGACTGTCACTGAGCGCAGCACCACCCCCGCGTTCTCCCCCATCTGTGCAAAAAGCCTTAGTTGCTCTGGAGAGCGAAAGTACAAGTTCCTATAAAGCCATTCCACGCCGGCGTTGTGGAACTGGTGGTTGACACACAGGATGTTGCTTGGGACGGATCCAAAGGAGAGTGCGTATGCAATTATGAGGAGTAAGATCTCACGCGGCAGATCGTCTAGAGTCGCATGCATTGGGACTTTCAGAGGGTACGTTCAGGCTGAATGAAACGAATGAACGGTGAGCCTATCGGCAATCGGATATCACCGTGTGGGAGTCTGGGAACGGAGCCTTTGAAAGGCAAAACCTTACGCGCCTCGCAGAATCAAAGTCCAGTGCTTTCATGAGTAAATTTTCATTCCGAGAAGTCATCAGCAGCTTAAAGTTACGGCCGCTCATCTTGTCCCTGGTAGATAACCCCAGTTGCACCTGTGTGCCCAAATTCGGTAATCTGATAAAAAAAAGTGTAATTTTCCTAGTGTATTCTGAGACCACAAAACATGTGAAATCGCGAAATCAATCACTATCTAGCTCAACCTACAAATCACAGAGTCAATAAAAAAAACACCGAAAAATACTACAGTGTGACTTACTACATTGGCCATTTTGCCCTTTGCCCGTGTCGCTGCGGCCCGTGTAGAGGACCGCCCTGACGGCGCGAAACTCAATGTGCCTTGTCCCGACGACGACGCCTTCCCTTTCGTACCTGTCTTCTTCGCAAGTGTTTTCTTTGCGGGTTGACTAGAGTTGGGCAGTTTTAGCATGTATGGTATGGAGTCAGAACATGGCCGGAACCAACCTCAATACTGCAGCACGATTTGTCTTCTTGGTAACTTTTGGTGGTGCTTCGTCTTCCTCCTCATCGTCATCTTCATCTAATTCCACGACTTCCTCAGATTCACTCTGCATTAATTTCAGTCAGCGCTCCGTGTACCATATCATAATTTGTAAACTCACAGCAACAGCCTTCTTTCCTCTCCCTTTCTTTGCTGGTGCAGCCTTTTTCGCGGGTGCAGCCTTCTTCTTTTTCGGAGGGGGCACGGGTTCGTCAAAATCTGACCCGTCATCTTCCCCGCCATCGACTTCCATGAGCATCGAGTCGGCGTCGGAGTCCGCTTGGGCGGAGGCTTTTTCTTTGCTCTACATATGGTATGAGGTGCAAGTTTCACGGGGTGGGTGGGGCCAACGTCGAACGCACCTTTCCCTTGGCTGTTTTCCCCATCCTTGCTTTTTCTAGGTACTCATGGTTGTGCTGCTCCTTAAGTTTGACGAGCTACATAAAGCAGCTTGGATTCAATAAAAAATCAAAAGGAAGCCTAGAACCCACAACGTCATCTAGCTCTTCCTCGTCTACCTCTCCATTCTCCTGTACGCCTTTCATGAGCGCGCGTAGAGCATTCGAGACATGTCTACATGAGCTCACAATATTAGCACAATGAATCGAAGTAGGACAAAGAGAGTGATGACATCATTAGGCCTCTGATGAAAACACCCCGAAAACGCAAAACAACACTCACGTCTGTATAGCCCACCCATCATCCTTTTCTACAAACATCCTAATTGCCTCATTCATACCCGCTTCACCGAGGACCTGCAGCTCTTGCGCCGCCAAATACTCTTGTACCAATGTTTGCACGCGAACTTTCGCCAATTTTTCGCTCGTCGTAAGGTCTGGATCGTCAATGGATAGTTCGGGCTGGTCCGCAGAGGTCGCGGTACGGGAGGCAGCGGAGCGGGCTTTGGATCGGTGGAAAGAGAGCACGTCGCGTGGGTTTGCAATTCTCCCAGTGAATTCTTGTCCGAATCGGATGGGATTGGACATTGCGGGGACGTTAGTGGTGTCGACCTACAATAGTAGTATCAGTATGGGTGCGGTCTGCATATTCTGTATCACATTATGTAGAAGGATGGATCAACGGACCTTGAGCCGTACAAGCGGCAGCATACGTGGGAGCTCCTCTTCGCCTTCTTCCACCGCGTGCGCATTGCGCTCGTCCCATAACTGGTTCGCTTGGTCAATGAGAGCGTTTACCTAGATCGCGCAGTGAGTCCGTAACCTACACGCCAGGCCCAAGTGAAAACGAAAAAGGGACGCACCCTTGCTCTCAAAAACTTCCCAACAGCAATTTGGTCGCTCACATCGAACCCCTCTTCCTCTGCCGCCTCCGCGAGAAAGATGTCGCCCAACATAAACGGACGTACGGTACGCAAAGGAAGAGGTTTAAGTTCAAATTCTTTGTTATGGATTTGGAGCAGGGCAACGTGCCTTTGTCACAAAATTCATTGTGTTCGAGAACCAAAGACACATCAGATACGGAAGGTGATGGTGAGATGGTGAGTCAAAAGAAATCTGGGAAGCTGACACTCACTTCTCCAATCCCTCGCCTTCGCCCAAACTTGTAGCTACACTCGACCCGGGCTGCGTGATATGGTATGGACGGCCAGCGACAGGCTCAGGCACGATACGGCAGTCGTGCTCATGGCCCCAGACGACGAGGTCGATACAGTCGTCGAAGAGGCCTTCTGGTACAGCTGGAGTTGGAGGGTGGGGAACACTACCGATGGTATTGATTATTAGTTCGAGGAACGGAAGAGTGCAGGGAAACGAATACGCAAGAGTAAAGACGTGCGAAATGATGAACTAGGTAGGATGCATGGGCAGGGGACAATATTCGCGTACCGGTTTTGGTGCACCACAAGGACGTTAAACCAATCTTCCTTGTCACTAGGCATGTACATCCGCACACGATTGCTGCGGAGTTCAAAGTGCATGCGTGCATCTTTGACATTGCCAACTCCATACAGTCCAAGGCGGGTTTGACCCTTGCGAAGGAGAACGGGGCGGATAGATATACCTTAGAAACGAAGGTGAGGAAAACAAACATCAGCGTCGAGTCACCGCACACGTAGAACATGAGCATACCTGAATCACTTTCTACAGGGTTCGGGTTTGACGCGCTGGATAGTGGGAGGTCGAACTTGCCCATGTAGTTTATAAGTCCCGATACAGAGAGTACATCGAGCGCACATAGAGCACCTTCCTGTTAAATGTAAATCAGTGCTCACACGTGAGAGGCGAAGGATAGGATAAGCGCAAAGGTAACGAGGGAGGACTAGGTTCTGAGTGATAAGGATCTATGGGAAGGAATATGGCTTACAGGCCCAGCACCTTGTGGATCATCGTGGTTACCGTGAATGCTGAAGACGGGAATGGCAACATTGAGATTTGAGTCTTCGTAGTTAACCGCTGGGAAGCTGAAGGCCATGATCATTCGTTCAAGGAGATCAAGAAAATTCGAACGCACCTGTATCCTTCTGCTCGCCCGTCATCTGGATTGCTAAGAAGCTCAAGTTGAACAGGCTTGTCACCAAATGTGTACTCCCGGAGAAGAGCCATAACCTGGTATAAGCAGTCGCGTGACGGGCGGTTTTCATGAAATAGATCGCCGCCGAGTAAAATCATATCGACCTGTAGACATTTTCAGGAAAAGAGATGAAATTATGAGGGATAACACGGACATCGTGCTTGACAGCGAGCTGAAGAATTTCCTTGAATGTGTTAATAGAGTCCTGACCACGAATTGGGTCACGCTCAAGATATCCAATGTGATTGTCTGTTGCAACCAATATCTTTATGATGTCCTCCTGGTCTGGCTCAACGCTGTGAGTGAATGAGCGGGCTATACTACTAATGAGACGAGCGTACAGGAGCTGCGGATTGTCGGCGGTGGTGCCTCGTTATCTGACATGGTGTAAAGGATGAAGTCGTTGAAATGCCGACGTCTGCGTCAGGTGTGTATGTATCGTGTCAGTCGACGAGAACAACACGCAAGTAAAGCAGTTGGACGCGTCGCGTCGCGTGGTTTGTCACGCCGTCACGACGCTGCTTGACTTTAGCCCCTGAGCATTTATCGCACTCGGCACCAGCCCTCGACTCGCTTACACCCGAGCGCTGTATTGCCAGATTGGCTAAAATCGGCTTTCTTGGGTGGAAAGAATTCTCCCCTATGCATTTTTTTCATACAAGTGCCTAACTGATCTCATCCCACAAAACCCTCTCTACTGTGTAGAGTCTGGAATATAGTGGACTAGAAAGACCTAAGGTCTCATTTTACAGGCGATAATGTTAACATCAAGGCCCTAAAGGTTCGGCGTCGTCTATGTCCGAGGATATATGATGTGAACTGTTGTCGCATTCGCAACTCCCTCCCCCTTCACGCTCAGCCACCGTCCCAATCGATGCTCCTGTCCTAATCCCACAACTAATAATGCAGGTTGAACTGAACTCTTGGTGGGAGGCAGTTGCTCTTTTTCTCTC